ACCTCACTAATAGCAGGTCTAACCCCACACAGAACAAGTAGTTCACATTTTATGTTAACAGGGAAGGAGGAGGGGATTACAATCAGGAACACTCTCAAGGACATGCCCAGAGGAAGAGAGGGTGGAGCATGGCTACATTCTCACTTCAAGACAGCAAAACAACTCAAAACCCAATCTATCCACACCCTCCCTAATTTTCTTTCAACCCTCTCCCCAACTTTGCTGTTGCTGTGAAGAACATGCTCTTGATTTCCTGAAGGTTACCTCTGCCTTCGGGGCTAAGAAAATGTCAAGCAAGCTGATTCCATGACTGCTCCAGAAATAACCGTTTCCCTGCAGAATAAACCTAATTTTATTTTATATCATAACTTTGAACAGCCACTACTGGGCATTCGAGTAGCTCCCTCCATTCTTCTCATGATGCTAAAATGGAAATCTGGGTGTATCAGGCATGAGCGACCTAAAAGGAAGATTATCCTTGGATAACATTAAAAATAAATAAAAAGGGGATATGCTCTGAACATCAATTACCCCATGCAGAGAGGTCCGTTCATTGGGAAAAAATAGTAGAATTCTGGTGATCTTATTGGATAGATTTTTGAGGTAAGTTACATATGCCAGTGATAGCAGATAGCAACTGAAGACTTCCCAAAGGCGGAGAGCAATCGGGTGCTGAGCAACTCTTGGTCTAGGCCAGCCTTCCCCAAGCTGGTGCCCTCCAGAAATTTTAGACTACAAATTCCATCAGCTAGCTGGGGTAGATGAGTGTCAGAAGTCCATAACATCTGGAGAGTGCCAGGTTTGAAAAAGCTGACCTAGGTAATGAAGAAGCTGGATGTAGCGAGGCCTAGCTGGGAGATACCAGTTAGGGACAAGATGATCCATCAGCTAGCTCTGCTCTTTGCCTTTGAGAGCCAGTGTGGTGTAGTGGTTAAGAGCAGTAGACTTGTAATCTGGTGAACCAGGTTCGTGTCTCTGCTCCTCCACATGCAGCTGCTGGGTGACCTTGGGCTAGTCACACTTCTCTGAAGTCTCTCAGCCCCACTCACCTCACAGAGTGTTTGTTGTGGGGGAGGAAGGGAAAGGAGAATGTTAGCCGCTTTGAGACTCCTTCGGGTAGTGATAAAGCGGGATATCAAATCCAAACTCCTCTTCTCCTTCTCCTCCTTCAATAAATATGTCATCTGTTTCTGCCAGGATCTGTCCAGTTTTCCTTTTCAGACAGGCTAGAATCCCAGCAGCTCTGATGATACAAATTAGAGGTAAGCAATAGCATCCCCCTACAATCTTTCTCCGATGAAAATAGGGATGTCCAATTGAGGAAAAGCAGGGCATTCTGGGGTCAAATCAGAAACCAGAATGGCTTCTGCAATTCCAGGACTGTCCCTGGAAAATCAGGACACTTGGAGGGTATGCAGTAGTTAATTCCTTAAAAAAGAGGTGTTGCGGGTCAGATCTTTAAATCCCTAAATGGCCTCGGCCCAGTATACCTGAAGGAGTGTCTCCTCCCCCATCGTTCAGCCCAGACACTGAGATCCAGGTCTGAGAGCCTTCTGGCAGTTCCCTCATTGCGAGGTTACAGGGAACCAGGCAGAGGGCCTTCTCGGTAGTGGCGCCCGCCCTGTGGAACGCTCTCCCATCAGATGTCAAGGAAATAAACAACTATCTGACTTATAGAAGACATCTGAAGGCAGCCATGTTAAGGGAAGTTTTTAATGTTTGATGTTTTATTGTGTTTTTAATATTTTGTTGGGAGCCACCCAGTGGCAGGGGAAACCCAGCCAGATGGGTGGGGTATAAATAATAAATTTATTATTATTATTATTATTATTATTGAAGACACATTATGCTTCCTTGCCCCATAGTTCATCTCCAACACCTGACGCGCGGAAACAGACTCTGGTCATTGGGCAGAAAAGGAATGGCATTTGGCTCTTGCTCAGAGGCGTAAGAATTTCTTAGTTCTAACCACAGTGGCAGGTTCCAGGGCAAAGTCTTCACGGCCCCTGCCTCAAATAAGCCTTGACAGCAAGTGATGGGGAAGAGGGAAGGAAAGGCGAGGAATAATGGAAGGCTGCAGAGCAGCATTCTATCCAGCTGCACTCAGGGTGCCCCACTGGCTGTTTATGTGCCATTCTCCAGAGCTTAGGCATTACGAAGCGGTCACCTTTGGTAACAGGCCACTGCGTACCCCATGCTTGGGCGGCTGGGAAGAGTATCTCATTTCTTCCTCAATTAGCTCCTGATTAGCACCATCCCTTGGCCCCCGGCCAGCCTCCATTTAATGCACCATTAATAATTCATTTCTCAGAGAGCAGGAAGACAAAGAGAGAAGGGGCTGGCCAGGACCACGCTGGAAGATCAGATTGTCACCAGAACAGGAAATGTAGTCACAGTGCTGGAGAAAGGAGCAGAGAAAAAGTTGGCTAAGGACAACCAAGAACCACTAAATGTCTAGTCGATATTAAGAACAACAACAGAGAAAGGGAGGCACAGAAGCTGGTTGTCTTAACCTCATGGAGGGAAATCTGGCAAAGATTTCCTCCATAAATTTATCCTTCTGTTGGAAAACAGATACTCAGACACGGTAGCGCTTAATGTTGCTTTTCAGCTAGGAAAAGTATGGAAGCTTTTTTCGTTCATCTGCCTTGAGGGGTGGGGGGAAAATAAATATCAAGTGTTTTTCAAGCAAACGAAATAATTATCTGCCATTGTAGCAGGGTGTCAAGAATTTCACTAGTGTACCTCCATGGGTAGCTGGTAGCAGTGAAAATGGCTCACAAACTACTCAAGAACATACTAAAAATTTCTCTCCTCTGAGTACTGACATCCTCATATGGCATTGACTTAAGATACTGAACCTGCAAAAATACCGCCTTATTAATCAAATACAAATCCAGCAGAGAGATCTCAATGGTAGACCTCCTGCCTTAACACTCGGCAGACACGCAATAAATGAAAGAGGAGGAAGACATGGAAAAACAGGTGCACATGTTCCTATGATGCTTACCTGCATCCGCAAGCACGGCAGTTGAAATATGTGTCATGGCTGAATATCCTCTGCTGCTACAGATTCATTGCTAGAACTGGAAGAATTCCCCAAGTTTGCATGAGAGCAGGAATTTGTTCACATGATTACCAGCCCATGCTATCCACAAGTTAATGGTTTAGCTGAAAGAGGTGTTGGATCAGAGGGAGATGCAACCAATACTGAGACTGTGGGTTCAATGCCCAAGGAAGCAAGCAGAAGTCTCCATGTTGAGAGAGCTGGGTATATTTCACTTGGAAAAGAGGAGACTGAGAGGAGATATGAAGCCATTTTCAAATATCTTAAGGGCTGTCTCATGGGTAGATGGAGCAAGCTTGTTTTCTCCTGCTCTGGAGGGTAAGACTCAAACCAATGGCTTAAAGGAGATTTCAGCTAAACATCAGAAAGAACTTTCGGACAGTGGAACAGACTCCCTCAGGAGGTTGTGGAGTCTCCTTCCTTGGTGTCCTGAACCCCTGGCCTACCTGGTGGCAAGTCAGTAGGTCAAGTCCAAAGTTCAAAGACCAGGAATCAATCCATGCAAGGAAAGTCGAAAATCCAAAAGGTCAGGAAATGCAGGCCAGGTTCGATCCAAGTAGGCCAAGTCTAAAGTCCAACAGTCAGGATATGGTCCAGAGTCAAACCCAAAGCACAGCCCTGCAGAGGTCCAGGAACATCCAAGCCCATTGAACAGACACAGCACCTCTGCTTCCCTTTTGTACCTTGCATGCTGAGTGTAGCACCTGGGCTTGATGAGGCATGTGATTCTCACCTGTTCCAAGCCTTCTCCAGCTGAGGAATCACACACCTCCTCCCAGAGCTAGTGAGCTCCACCTGGCTGGCTAGTGAGCTGGGCTGTGGGCCCTTTCTTGCCTCTCTTGCTGCTTCCTACACTTCAGAGCCCACCATGTTGGAGACAGGGGCCCCTCTGGCTCTGGGTCCTGCTGCTCTGGTTCCTGTGCCCTGACCCCCATCCTCTCGCCATCCTCTGTCACCCTGAACTTCCTTCCCCATCCCCTGCTTGTCTCAGCGCTGGCTACACTCCTTGATGGGATCCTCTTCCTCCTCTCTGTCATCCTGCCAGTTCATGACACTTGGGAGGTTTCTAAGCAGAGGTTGGTTGGCCATCCGTCATGGATGCTTTAGTTGAGATTCCTGCATTCCAGGGGTTGGACTAGATGACCCTCAGGGTCCCTTCCAACTCTACGATTCTGTTCTCCTCTTCATCCCAAGTCAAACCCAACTGTTCTGAGAATACAGATGTCTGACAAACAAAGCAAGCCCTTGATCACTCAAGCTCGTTTCTTTGCTGCTGGCTAGCCTGAGCCCACCTCCTCGAGAGGAGAGAACGGTACAAGAAGATCAGCCTTTGGCCCCATTCTCTGGACAGTAAAAGATGGTGGGAATGTTGGTATCAATTCTGTCTACTGGGTGCTTGTAGGCCTGTGCCACCAAGAAAAGATGACCTTGACCAATTTCCTTCCCAGTCCCTCTGGAGACATTTCTTTTGCTCAGCTTCCTGTTCAACAGCAGAGAACTTGTATTGTTCTTTATCATCCCTGGCCATATTGGCTGGAGCTGGTGGGAGTTACTGGCTTCCCATTCTTGTTCTAGAATCATGATTTTCGCTTTGAGTCCTGGTTTAAATCCCCAGGCAAGTTTAAATCCCCAGAGATGTTTTCCTCCCTTACTTAGAGAAAGCCTCCATCCCAAAGGTGTGTTCTTGCAGTAAAGTTCCTTACAACACAGTTTGCAGAAGAATCCAGCTTAGGCCCACTGCCCACAAGGTAAGAGAGAAGAAACAACTGCGATATATATATATATGTATCTATATATATCAAACAGCAAGCACAGAGCAACTAGAGGGATGATTTGAACTGCATGAATTGTACACCAGAGGGCAGTAGGGAGCTTGAAGAAACAGGTGCAACACTGCACAATTCGTTCACCTGAAAAAAGACCAGCAGCTTTTAAAAAATATTTTATTATGTGATTTTTTTAATATAAAAAATCAATATATCACATCATCATGTAGCTTAACACAGTCAAATTTGCTCTCTTTATAATATCCATTTTACGGCACTCAAATTCTTCCCAACTTGAAACGTTTAGGATGTTTCACCTGGCTCTAGTATGTCACACATGCTTGCCAAGTCCCTAAAGTGTCTGTATATATTTTCAATCCATCCCGTAATTCTTTGTAACTTGTACCTGAAGACCCTTTGCCGCTCTGGTTCTTGGCTTACCAAATGGGGGTTTGAGTGAACCAAACCAGTTTTGATTTCAAATGTAATGGTGAGCCAAGGATCATAATTTGCTGCATATTATCGGTAGAGGAACAAAGCAGGAGTAATCTACGCATTCAGGTTAAATTGTTCATCATCCCACTTTACTGTGACTTGTGAACACAGCTGCTGACTCATGGTTGCCAATAATATCACTTGTCAAGGGAAACGGGACAGATACAACTGTGGAAAATTTCCACTAAGCACATGGAAAAGCCAATGAAGAATCCACAACAACGTTGCCTTTTTAAGGCAGACACAGTGCTGCTTTCTAGTATGTTATCTCAACAGCTAAAAATTTGTTACACAAAATGCGTAGGGTCCAGGATTATGTTAGTTTGCACTTAGTTCCCATTGAAGTCTATGCAACTTAAATAATGACTGAATTTTCACATTGGTTTCAACGAGAATTAAGTGCACCTAGTCCAGTCTGGATGCTATCCACAAATTATTTTCAAGGCCTTTATGAATTTCCAGATCTTCAAACTTCACAAGTGATTTAAAAATAGCCACTTTTCATAGCAAAGATGTCCTTAAATATATGCTAACACAAAAGCCATGATTACAAAAATAAGGCTAACATAATGTTTCTCATTCACGTAGATCCTTATGTTGTGGCCAACCGAAAAATTTGGTTCTTTAAATAGGTACACAGCTGGTTCATTAAGTCTCTGTTTTGCCCCTCAATCCAGTGCATTTCTACTAAAGAATCGTCCCCTTCTTTCTTCACAACTAACATACACTTGAAAAGGAACCATTCACCAGAGACGTTGGCACCCTCTCCAATCTCAATACCTAGGCAACCAGTACCAAAGTCCTTGGACCTCTCCTCTTTTCCATCACTGGAATCTTCTAAGCTTGCTGAAACAACAGCTGGTTCCTCTGCTTGGCTGTTTTCTTTGGTATGTCCCTCGAGGTTTTCTTCTTCAGTATCAGGCGCGCTATTCAGTCTGCCATCCTCTCGTGACTCAAGGCTGCAACCAAGTACTGCCAATGCCTTTTCTGTGGATCTGTCTTTTTCATCTTCTGTGGACCTACCTTCGTTGTCTTCCCCACGCCTACCTCTGTCATCTTCAGCAAGTCCTTCCTTGTCTCCTCCAGCAGGCCCACCTTTGTCGCCTTCTGTGATGTTACTTGCCTCGTTCAGGTTCTTTCCTTCTGTTGTGGCTTGGAGGAAATCTACAGAGGCTCGAGGAAGTTCGCGCAGCTGCCTGACACGATCCCTCTTCTTTCTCCGCAAGTGAATCCAGGAGTTTTCTACAGCTGTTAGGAACAAACTGATCTCGTCTTTCCCGCAGGGAATGCATTTGTGCTGCACCTATTGAAGCAAACATGCACAGAGTTTTAGTGTGATTCGCTGGTGTAAATTTGCCGCTTCCTGAAATGACATCACATTTAAAAGAGGAAAGCAAAGGGAGAATTGTTGCAGTTACTATTACCTTCAGGTCAGTGAGGATTTTTCTAATCCATGCTGCAACTACTGCCATCCCTTCAACAGCATCAATCCCCACTGAGGAAGCTTTAGTAGCTAACTCTTTGGCTGTAGACGCCAAGACTAGGAACGTGATTGGTTTCCGAGGCTTCTCTAGCTTTCGTTTCTTAGAAGGAGGTGACTGAGGGGGAAAGAGGAAATGGAATAATTAAAAATCTAAAGAATAGTACTGCAGTATTCAGAGCATGAATAGAAAATGTGTAAATAATTAGGGGCGCGGGTGGTGCTGTGGTCCCCACTGAGCCTAGGGCTTGCCGATCAGAAGGTCAGTGGTTTGAATTCCCATGACAGGGTGAGCTCCCGTTGCTCGGTCCCAGCTCCTCCCAACCTAGCAGTTCGAAAGCACGTCAAAATGCAAGTAGATAAATAGGTACCCCTCCAGTGGGAAGGTAAATGGCGTTTCCGTTTGCTGCTCTGTTTCGCCAGAAAGCGGCTTAGTCATGCTGGCCACATGACCCGGAAAAACTGTCTGCGGACAAACGTCAGCTCCCTTGGCCAGTAAAGTAAGATGAGTGCCGCAAACCCAGATACATTCGCGACTGGACTTAACTGTCAGGGGTCCTTTACCTTTACCTTTATTTAATTAGTATCAATATGTGGTGACTTAAGGAGGTTCACGGAAGGAAAATTTCCCATCCCCACACCTCAATAACACTCTGTGCTACATCACATGAGGCTCAGGAGCGCCCCCATAACACCTTGGGGGGCACAGGTGGCTACAGAGAAGAGGCAATGGGAAATATTCTTTCTGTGAACTTCTGTAAGTTAAGCTTTCTTTGGACCCAAACCAGGAACTACATCGTACAGCAACAGCAGCTGGAATTATGTATGATTAGTATTGGAAACAAAGAAAATCCCCAATCAGGGGAAATGGGAGAACGTGTAACACAAAAACACACTTATTGCAAAATTAATACATTACATATGGACTGTGGGAGGGAAAAAATGAACTGTTCAGTAGCAATTGGGGAAAAAAATTAAACTGATATTGAACAAAGCATGTAATTCAATTTCTGCCAGTTATGTACTATGGTCCAAGAGAATTTCGTACACCTGAATCTGATAGTTGCAGTCTGTACATTCATTAACATAGTTGACGTATGCTGTTAAGAAACTAAGGAAGAAGCAAAAAGGGTGGGGGCACAGAAATTTGATTACTCGAGTAATCACTCAAGTAATTTTGTGCAACTAATCAGAGATCTGAATGTGTGTTTATTGAACAGAGGTCTTCTTCACCCCATCCCGCCAGGCCTATGTAAATTGCTTTGGAAACTCAGGAGCTTGCGACGCATTAAGGGAGAGTCCTAAGCGATAACACAAGATAACGAATTGCGGGAAAGACACGTGGGCACTTACTGGCACTTTGACATTTTCATAGAAGCTCCAAGCCAACGCCCACCTCATGGTGCGACCTTGGCAGAATTCAGTGTGGGTGACTTTAGGAACCTGCACACAAAGAAAAACAGCAAGCCAACCTTACATTTGGGGAGTTATTTCCTTCAGTAACTCATTACAACTTCAGACCTACAGTGGTACCTCTGGTTAAGTACTTAATTCGTTTTGGAGGTCCGTTCTTAACCTGAAACTGTTCTTAACCTGAAGCACCACTTTAGCTAATGGGGCCTCCTGCTGCCGCCGCGCCGCTCGAGCATGATTTCTGTTCTCATCCTGAAGCAAAGTTCTTAACCTGAAGCACTATTTCTGGGTTAGCGGAGTCTGTAACATGAAGCGTATGTAACCCGAGGTACCACTGTATTTTGAGCTAGGACCCCAAAACATCCCACGATGGCATTTTACTCTTTTAGCTCTACATTACAGCATTTCACATACACACACAAAAAAAGGTGTCTGTGGCCCTTTCCTCCAAAGTCTCTGATCATGGGCAGCATAGACAAATAACTTCTTGTCCAGTTCACAGGGAGCTAAATGAGGCTGGGTCTATAGTGCAGCAGAATGGAGCAGGAACAAGGAAGGGGGCAGAGTAATCTGAAGGCCAGGAAATGCTCTGAAGGCACAAGATGCAGCCACCTTGTTGAAGCTAAGCAAGTCTAGGTCAGGCTAGTTCCTACATGGTGGCACACCTTGGATTCCTGTGATTTAAATGAGTTCAGTGGAAGAAAAAGCAGGATACAAACATAAACAGGACTGACTGGGCTACTTCAGACTGCAGATGCAGGCAGGGTTGAGTGCTCTCCCACAGAAAACAACTCCCTGTAGTTAGAAACCTGGCACAACAGGATTGGCACACTCTTTTTCTCCTTGCAGGGAGGTGTATCTTTGCTGTTTAACAGACAGGTGGAGCATTGAAAAGGGCACCACTATTTTCACCTGCGTTTTCAATCCAGGTTCAAGAACTTCTGCAAAAGGGGTTCCGAAGGACAGCCCTTCCGGCAGCCGCAGCTGGGCTGGGCTGAGGAGCCCTGCATGCAGCCGAAGGAGGGAGATACATGTCTCGCAGTGAACCCCATATTGGTTGTTGGTGAGAACACACCTCTGAAAAAAACAGGTTTTAATGCACAAGGAACGCTGCTACTTTTGTCCACCGTGCATTAAATTCTCAAACTCTGCTGTGTTGACTAAGGTTGGTGTCTTACACACACCTGCCTGGATCTAAGGGCCATTGCAGTCGGTGGGACCTCCTTTCAAGTAGTGTGTTAGATTGATGGGGTGCCAGGTTCTGCAGCCTGCCAGTGGAAAAACCGTTTAGTATTTCACACAAATGGAAAGTGCAGCTGTGAGCAGATGTAATACAGATAGCTGCGGTGTGTTTACAGAAATGCTTACCCCATGGATCCGAAGCTCCTCTTTCAGGGGTGCCAGGCTGCACTTCTTCCCCAGCATGCAACTGTACCACCTGCAGTAATGAAAGACATTTCAGAACCAAAGAGTTTAGAAATCAGACTAAGTTCTCTCAAAACTAGCCTCTTGGGGGTTCAAGTTTCAGAACACAAAGGTCTCGTGACTGCCAATTTAAAAAAAGGAAAATGCTTTGAGAAACAACTGCAGACTCTATTACAGTCATGGGTGAACCATACCCCAAGATTTGGAAATAATGTTAAGAGCGCACCTTTTCCTCCTCCTACTATAGCAAAACAAATGCTCAAAACCAAGCCCAACAACTTTATTCCAAGTACTGGAATTCATGCCACATCACAAATATATTTTAATCAGTGGTTTCAGTTGTATAAATCATCAACATCATGATGATGATGATTTTATTTTATTTCCTATGAAGACTGGAGAGGATTGATTGTTCTGTTTTTAATTTACGGTGAAGATACTGATATTCTCGTTATTATGTGTGTATTTTAAATGATTTATTTTTTATTGTTAATGTTGGATTTTGATGGCCTTTGGCTATAAACAACAAGTTTTTTATTTGATCCAGCTCCGAGGGTCTTCTGGCAGTTTGCTCACTGCGAGAAGTAAAGTCACAGGGAGCCAGGCAGAGGGCCTTCTCAGCAGGGGCGCCCTCCCATAAACAATTATTTGACTTTTAGAAGTCATCTGAAGGCAGCCCTGTATAGGAAAGTTTTTAATGTTTGATATTTTATTGCGTTTTGTTTTGTTTTGTTTTGTTGGAAGCCGCCAAGAGTGGCTGGGGCAACCCAGTCAGATGGGTGGCATATAAACAATAAAAATATTAAATTCTTACCGTAATCTTTTTTTAAGCTGCAGGCTATCGTGGATTATTCTCTTGACAAATTCCAGCTCTCCTCCTTCAGCCATGATCTCAGTGATCCCTCCAGTGTTAACAGAGCTCGGAGGGGGTCTTCTGGGATTACGAGAATTTACTCCCTGGCAAAGAATGAAAGTGGGCATCACTACCTCTTAGCTTGCTACGTAGCCATGCAAACTAACTATGATTTTTTTTTACAGATGCTTAGGTTCTTCCGCCTCTCCCAACTGTCTTTCTACACAGCATCAAATTATACTTCAAGCGTTTCAACTGTAAAGGGACCTTTAAAGAATGAGCATGTGTCAACACAAACAGGAGAAGCCCAGGGCAGAGGATCAGCAATCAACATACCTTTGCTTCCAGCTGGTTGGCAAAAAAAGGAGGGTTGCACATGCAGAAATCATAGACGACCCCAGACTCTTCTTCCAAAGCATCCAGCAGGAGTGTCTTTTGTGGTACTTTAACCACTGAAAGAAAAGGAAGCACCGAGGGTTAGGGAAAACCAGACATTTGCTTACTTTCGACAGAACTTCTAGAAATCGTTATATGCTACTTCAAACAAAAAGACAAAGGCAACCCACTTATAAAGGTGGAAAGCTTAATATCATAACCATAGCACAACATGTTGGCCGCATCATGGACATTCACAATACAAATGCTATTATGTCACTATTGTTAGACCTCAAAAATTACTTGCTCACTTTTCCAATGGTGATCGGAGATCCACTTCAGTAGCAGAAGCTGAACAAGCAATCCACTTTGAGGAGTAATACACCAGATCTCTCAGAGTTTAGGTCCCCTAACCTCTACTGTTGCTATGCTTCCTCTTGGCCCTCTTCCTGCCAGCCATCCCCTTCCATTCTCTTTTAACCTTTCCCCCTTTTTTCTTTCTCTGCTCTTTACAGGTTGGGTTGATTGGGAAGGCAGTTAGGAATTTTGGGGATTGTTTTCTTCTCTGTTGGCACTAGTCTACAACAAAAATTCGAGGTGGGGGAATCATTAAATACAGTGGTACCTGAGTTCCCGAATGGCTTGGTTGTTGAACAAATCGGCTCTTGAATGCCACAAACCCAGAAGTGCTCTGGTTTGTGAACGTTTTTCGGAAGCCGAACGTCCGACAAGGCTTCCGATTAAGTGCAGGAAGCTCCTGCAGCCAATTGGAAGCCATGCCTTGGTTTTCAAACAGTTTTGGGAGCTGAACGGACTCCTGGAATGGATCAAGTTTGAGAACCAAGGTACCACTGTATAAACAAAACTCTCGGCTTCTGCCTCAAAATAATGCAATGCATGGATAATTTTGCCTGTATGCAAACTACTTTGCAGCATAAGATTGGGACAAGAGGGATATAATGATACCTTTTATAAGGTTGGATAAGTTGTTTTGTTCCACATTTTTCTTGGCAAAGCTGAAACACACATCATCCACTTCTGTTGCAATGAAATACCATCCATTCAAAGTTGCACCAAGTAATGGGTAAATACAAGAGGCACCTGTTCCTGCAACACACCCAAGAAAAGTGCAAAAGTTAAAACACCGCAGAGCATTCAAAATAAACAACCCAGAATGCATTTTCTAAGGATCTATCTATCTCTCAATATATGAATTTTACCAGTTGGCCAGCAAGTACTATTAGGTAGAACATGCTAAATTACTTTCTATTTAGTGCCACTGTTTGAGAAGAGCATTTCCTATTCCACAAAATACCTTGCAACACTTGATGCTTCACAAGCAGGCGAAATAAGGCCTGCTCTAACCACCCTGCCTCACCACAACGCTGTCCTCAGAAGAACTCTGTACCAGCTACAGAAGTGACATGAATGAAAAATAATCCACTGGACTGTATGGTCAAAAAGCACTTACTCCTTCACAATGGATTCAGACTAAATCTACACCCAGTCAGAGCACACCCACAGAAGTACATAAACCCCTGAAAGGGAGAAAGTAAGAAAGGCAAATGTGGCTTCATATCACATGCATGAGAGTTGATGCGGGAAATCTTTGGTGATCAAAACTATGTAGAAAGGACATTTTGTGTGAACTTTACAAGTTCACACAAATAGCTTTGCAAACACCCGACTTCTTAAAACTCCGATATGTATCCTCTCTCAGGACTCCTGGACATAAACAAAAACCCCAATTCATTACATGGGAGGGGGCACTGTGGTGTCATTTTGCCTGGTGGGTTATGTATGGGGAGGGGGACATCATAGATGTGTCTCCCCACTAATGTGAGTGGTCTGGATGCCTGGTTATCATGGGAGCATAGACAGTCCGCTCCCATTATATGCTGGAGTGTGTGGCTGATGCTCTGCTCTGCGCTTTTTGTAAATAGCACCCCCCCCTCAACTTTTGTGCTGGGAAATTACAGGACAAAGGCTAAATTATGGTGATATTGTGACAACACAAGTGGCCCACGTGTGTAGTGGGACTTAGGACTGATCTACAAGTCACCAACACGAAACATACCTATGTCTATTCCCCATGTAGCTGAATCTTTAGCAGCAGCGTCCTGCTGAGCAATCAGATCTTCGACCCAGTGGATATAGTTGAGCCTCAAGGGAACAGTCGGAATGAGCCTCTCCAAAGGTATGTCAATTTGTAGTCCAAAGTCTTCTTTCAACAGGGTGCATGTTAAGGCTCTCACCGCTTCTGGATCCTTGAAGTTCACACTGAAAGGCACAAGATAATAGGTGAGCTGAAGAATTCCTGTTTTGCATCAAGGAACGTAGCGTGGAATGCACTACAGATGCCAGACTTGGCTATGTTCACTCTTGCAAATAAGAATAGCAGGGAATTTAAAAGGAAAGAAAAAGCTTTGAGGCCTTGTTGTTCAACCCAAGCCTGATTATCTCACCACTCTACTCAGTACAGAAAGCTGGCTGGGCCAGTAAGCTTCCAGAGGTTAAAAAGCTGTTTCAGTGGAGGTGGCAAGAGAATAAAGATATCCACTTGGGGGCACTAATGAGGAGGAGCTCGGTTTGGTGCGCTGTGGTCAAACCTCTCTGCAAAGTAAGGGGCTTCCCTCCTCTGTGGCTGGAATGGAAACTGCAAGCTACTAGTCTCTTAGTGATCTACAGTGGTACCTCTAGTTGCGGACTTAATCCGTTTTGGGGTGCCATTCGCACCCCAAAAAGTCCGCAACTAGAGCGCCTCTTCCACGCATGTGCGCGATGATCAAGCACTTCTGCACATGCGCAAAGCGCACAGATCGCTTCTGTGCATGCGGCAAACCTGGAAGTAAACACTTCTGGGTTTGCCATGTTCGTAAGCTGAAAGTTCGTAAGAAGAGCAGAGCACAACACAACACAACACGAGGTATGACTATAGTAGCATTTGTGGGCTTATTTCCAAGGCTGAACCAGGCCCGTGCCTGCAAATGAACACAACGCATATCATAAACTCCAGTTTATGCCAGTAGAGCATAAGACACTTAATCTCAATAACATGGTTCTGGACGCCACATAGGGTAAAAAGATTCCTGCATTGCAGCAGGTTGGACTAAGTGACCCGGGGGGGGGGGCTCCCTTCCAACTCTACAATTCTGTGGTACCTCCTTCTCCAACCCCCAAGTGGCTCAAGTTTTTGGATGCAGGGCAAAAAAACCCCACAAAAAAACCTTGCCTTTTTGCTACTGGCATGAAGCGCGATTCTTGTTGGCAGCCTAATATAATTATAATTATGTTACATTATATTAGGCTACTGATAAGAATAAAATTATTATTTATAATATTTCTATAGATATTATTTATAGTATTATTTCTATAATATAATATTACTATATTATAAAAATAATACCATTATTTTTGTATGGAATAATATGCAGTTGTAAATGTTGACAATAGGACCCATGGGGGGGGGGAGTCTCGAGATGAAGAGTAATCTCTATATATGGATATGCATTTGGAATGTTATAAATTCATATCTGTAAAATCAAATAAAAATGATTTCATCCCCCCTCCCAGTTTTTAAATGCTTTATCGGTTGAAAACTTTGTAACATAAATATGCAATAGATGTTATAGGCAACATATGAAATAAACAATTATTCATTTTTTAACTAGTACTTGCTTTGTACATCCATCAGTGATTAAATTTGACAAGACCTCCGATCTTCCCCTTGAGTTCCCAAATTAATTTCCTTAAATATGCGCTTAAACTTTACTTTCTCTGTTATTTGACTTAATATCAATTTTATTTTATAAAATTATCCCACTTACACACCGAAGCTCAATCAAGACCTGCCAACTTTTCACTATGTTCTTTTACATATACTCTGCATATATCCCACTCTCTGATAAATTTTCCATCTGTAACGTCTCTTAACCTTGCTGATAATCTCGCCAGCTCAGCGCACTCTCTTATTTTGTTTTGCCATTCTAATTTAGATGGAAATATCCTCTCCCTTCCAGCCTTTTGCTATTAGAATTCTGGCAGCAACTGTAACATACATAAAGAATCTCCTGAAACTTTTTTGAAAACTGATTTCAAACAAACAAACAAACAAATAAATAAATAAATTTATATTACTGTATTATACAGAATACATACATATGCTACTGAGAACTTACCTCACCCTCCCGGACAAATTTATCTGCACGTGTTGTTTAAATTCCGGGTACTTGGACGCCAGGTAAGCGAAATCCGGCGGCTTGTCCTTGTATCTGTTCCTCGCGTGCATAGATTTGTTGAGGGCCATCCCGGGGCCGGAGAGGGGAGCGCGGGCCGGACGGGGGTCGCTCTGGGAAACGAAACACCTGTTGGCAGGTAAAGGCGCGCGCGAAAAGGCCTGCGCTGCGCGGTATCTCTCGCCCCTCAGGATGCCGGGCCCCCTCAGCAAGCTCCTCGCAGGAGATGCGCCGAGTCGTCGTCGTCTTCCCCGGACGCCAAGGCGAAGAGAATGGGAGAGAAGCCCGAGAGTTGTAGGCGGCCCTGCGCTTCCGGTACAGCCGTCACCTTTCTCTCTCTCACACACACACAGACAGACAGGAAGTCAGGCGACGAGGGGTTGCTGTGCCCAGCTATCCCGCTGGGCAACTCTATGGTTGAAAGGTCCGCCCGTCCCCTCACAAAGAGCGGCAGCTGCGCCTGCGCGCGTTCTCATAGGACCATAGAGTTCGGAGGGACATCAGCGTCACCTAGTAGCCCAGCTCCCTGCAATGCAGGGATCTCTTACTTAGTTTACCCAGGGCCGGATTTAGACTTGATGAGGCCCTAAGCTACTGAAGGTAACGGGCCCTTTATATGTCCTGCTGTCCTTTGTCAACAACAAGTTGTCGCTGTTTTTTTGTGTTGAATAGATGCTATATGGTAATCTGTGGACCTAATAGGTATCTAAAGCTCTTTGCACATAACAAATAGGAGCCTACACAACACAAAACACTGTTGCTGCATGTAGGTTTTACTTTATTTGTTTTTTATCTTATATTTTGGAAATGTAAAGGGACCCCTGACCGTTAGGTCCTGTCGTGGCTGACTCTGGGGTTACGGCACTCATCTCGCTTTATTGGCCGAGGGAGCCGGTGTACAGCTTCCGGGTCATGTGGCCAGCATGACTAAGCCGCTTCTGGCGAACCAGAGTAGCGTACGGAAATGCCGTTTTTTTTTTACCTTCCCGCCGGAGCGGTACCTATTTATCTACTTGCACTTTGACGTTACTTTAAAACTGCTAGGTTGGCAGAAGCAGGGACCGAGCAACAGCTCACCCCATTGCGGGGATTCGAACCACTGACCTTCTGATCGGCAAGTCCTAGGCTCTGTGGTTTAACACACAGCGCCACCCGCGTTTGGAAATGTACATCCATTTCCCCCCCTTTAATTTTTTTTGGGGGGCCCCAAGAGTGTGGCCCTAAGCTATACTTGTTTATCTTATACATAAATAAGAGAGAGAGTTTGGATTTGTCAGGGATGAACTGTTCATTCACCCAAGCTCCACTTAAGATTATTGTACTAAATGTTTCCTGGTCTTTTTGGATAGCCACACAAATAGGAAGGGGCGCTTCTTGATTTTGCTGTTGGGTTTAGCAAACGGTATCAAAGAAAACACCAGTTATGAACATGATTGTAGCTTACACTGAGTGAGGCTAGTATATAGCCCGTCACTACTTTCTTTGACTAGCGGCAGCGGAACCTGGCAGAATTCGGATGAGGGAATACAGATCTAGGCAGCTAATTATTATTTTTTAAAAAAAGTTTCAAGGCTGCCTTGGGATACTTCCAGCTCTTAGCATACAATGCACACATTCTGGAGAAATCCAGCGTCTTCCAAGACTAGAAATATTCCCTGTTAATAAAAACATCATTAGAAGAGATGGTATTTACAGAGGTGGACTTTGGTAATATTGTGCCTGGAGGACAAAATTTGGTGCCATCCCAAAATATTATTTTCACAATAATTTCTTTTGATACAGTTGCTTTTTTATGGATCTCAGTAGGTATTCATATAAATATAGGTATTACTCTTACTATTATTTTGTGCCCCCTTGGATCGGAGCCATGTGCAGGGGAACAACCAGCTACACTGCCCTAAATCTGGAGCTGGTATTTGCAAAACCATTATGTCCAACAGTTCCCCTGGGATGTCCTTGTCCATTCCTTGGTGCTTCTGCTGGAAGGACAAGCACTGGGGGGGGGGGGGTAATTAACATGACCCCAGAAGAAAACTAGATTGGCTTGGATAACATTGGTGATGGGCGAGACCGTAACAGAGTTGTCTTCCTGGATCTTCATTGCTAAGATGCAGAGGGGTCAGTTTAGAAAGCAACTTAGCAGCCACTTAAAATAGCAAGACACAGTTGGGGACCTTGTCAACACCTAGGTATATCCCAGGACAGGGATTTAGGGCTGTGCTCAGAGCCTATTTATACATGATCCAACACCCTCTCAGATGACGTCCGCCTTCCAAGATCAAGACTGCAGTGGAAATTTCTGGTGTAAATTGGGTAAAGATGAAGTAACAAGATGGCTATCGGTGGACCAAGTTCTTTCTTCTCTTATCATTCATACTTCAGACCCAGCTCCTCCGGGGTGTTGCAAAATTAGCAAAGGGGGAAAAGATGCAACCTGGTCATTCCTGTCCAATGAGATGGGAGTTCACAGACCTGTTTCAAATTTGCCACGCTTGGTAGAATAGTGATCAGCAGCCCCTTGTGAAACACATGCCTGCCACACAGAATCGCTTTGAATTGCCACACCTGAAGGAATATAAAAGCATATGCTGTTCACATTTTGAACGAGTTGCTGTGCATGTCTGTCTATTGCAGGCTGCATGCCCCTTTGACAAAAATGGATCCTCTTTTCTGCTCAGCCTTAACCTCACTGATGGAGCTCAATGAACATCCAAGATACTGTTAGATCTTTAGGATGGGGAAACTGAAGCCCTTTTAGATGTTGCTGAATCCCAACTTCCATCTGCTCCTGTCAACATGACAAAATAGGGACGATGGCAGTTGAATGGCAGAAGATCTGGAAGGCCACTAGTTCCCCGTCTCTGTCTTACAATACTACAAACCAGATAACACATTTGATGATATAAAGCACCCTTTAAATCATGAAGCGATCCTGCAGAATAACATTTTATCAGTGTTTTCTAAACTTGTGATAGCTGAGACACATATATTCCAGGCTTTGAACTGGAGGTCATGTCATGGTTAAACTCCAAAATGTTTATTTTTTATAATTTAGGAGTGAAAATGACACAGCCATCGAACACTTCACTCCATTCTTCTGCATAATACTCTTCTGGGCATGTTTCTGGACTGGAAAGAAGCAAGCCCAGAGCAATTACTCAGTCTGAGATGACCAACAGCTTCCTCTGAGAAAACCAATTTCTGCTGCATCCCTGTATTTGGGGGCGACTGAGTGATACAAATCATAAAACAAAACCTATGCATGACAGTAGCTGAGGTTCATCAGTAAGAGGCAAGGCCTGAGCAATGAACAATACTGGAAATGGTTTTAATGGAACTGGGCCACAGATTTTGGTTTTTGGATCTTTCCCCTTGATAATGCTTTAACTTATTTTTTTGCGGGCCACCTTGGCCTCTTCTCAAGGAATAACAAGGTAGAAATGCTTTAATTAACAAAATTGAATTAATTAATTATGTGTACAATATTCCCTGTGAGTGCGTGTTTTGGACTCACAGGAACCTGTCTTTCTTGCAGGACAAGGTAAGAGTGTTCGCAAGTCACAAATTTCTCACATAGTATTTGCGATTACTCTGCCCTCTAGTGATAAAAGGAAGAATCTGCACTGGCAAGGCAAAATAGAAATTTGCATGAGGCCTGATTCCACACACCATCACAAATCATAGAATTGTAGAGGACCATGAGGGTCACCTAGTCCAAGGCAGGAATCTTTCACCCAACATGGGACTTGAACCCAGACCCTGAGATTAAGAGTCTCATGCTCTTACCAACTGAGCTACCCCAGGCGTGATGCAAGTAAAATTTGAAACCCAGAGCATCTGCTACAACCATGGTTGCTTTGGATCCAGTACAATCTACTGCTCTTTTATATAGATTCACAGAACCTAGGCTCTCATTTTGTAAATGAAGAAAAAGAAGCCAACCTCTGCAGTTCCATATTAAATCTCTTGTATGCAAATAGCCCCAAATCAATGTTCTATCATCGAGCAATCACTGATGGCAGGGAAATTATTTTTGCTCCTGGCGTCACTGTTGCCAAGGTTTCCTCCACCCTTTGCTTACAATTATATGCAAGACCAAGACTCCATGCATCTGCAAACTGCCAAATTTTGGAGCGTTTAAGAAGTAGAAATACAGTGGTACCTCGGGTTAAGAACTTAATTCGTTCCGGAGGTCCGTTCTTAACCTGAAACTGTTCTTAACCTGAAGCACCATTTTAGCTAATGGGGCCTCCTGCTGCTGCCGTGCCGCCGGAGCACGATTTCTGTTCTCATCCTGAAGCAAAGTTCTTAACCTGAAGCACTATTTCTGGGTAAGCGGAATCTGTAACCTGAAGCGTATGTAACCCAAGGTACCACTGTAGTTATATCAATTATGAACTCAAATGATCCAACAGAAAGTGTTGCCAGAACTATGACTCCATTGAGTATTTTTGTTCCCTTTGTGGATGGGTAATAGTATTTTATGGCACCTAATAAGCTGTTTGATTATTCTGCATTATCCTAACAAATGTGATACGCATTTGGTTCCTCAGGTTGTGCCACATGTCTCTGCCCCCATAGCATAAGGACTAACCAGCAGTTCAAATGCAACAAACCATCAAGTTCAGTTTCTTAAAACTTGTTTAATATCCGTATTTTTGTCTGCTGGGCAAAGCCAAAACAGTCTGGCCTAGTTTCAAGTTACAAATCCATACACATTTCCTCTTTCCTTTCAGTAAAATGAACAGTGTGGCAATAAAAAGGTTTTGTTACCTGAAATAAAACCCATTTCAGCAACAGCTTAAAAAAAGGGGGGGGGGGAGAAAAGAAAAGGGAAAGTCACAGTCTGCATTTTTCATCCAGAGAGATCTATCCTGCTTCTGTGATGAACACCATGAAAAGATGGAGGCTCCTACCCAGGCACAACCAATAGCGACTGAAACAGCTGACAGTCACTATGTAAATTGGGGTGGGTGGGTGGAGAGAGGGAAAGAAATACAATTTATGGCTCAAAGGCAGGTTGGGCTTTTAGAAAACAAAATTTTAAAACTTCTTTTTAAGTCTCACTTGGGACAGGGTTCTCTCCACGAGTGATCAATAATTAGCTCCACCACAAGCTGGTATATCCAAGTTTTAACCTGCCTGAAGTGAAAACTTGCTTTGGGCTAAATTCCAAGAACGGCAATCGGGGGGATAAAATGCTAGGACTGAGCGCTTTCCAGGACAGCATGCTTCAAGTCTTGAATTTAGCTGCAGAAATATAACACGAGCCCAACCCCAAACGGGCTCAGCAAGCAGACAGCAGCTGTACTCTGCTGTGGCAGCCAAGACACCAGCGCCTGCATTTTGCCAGCTCACACATAGCCCCAAGCTGCGTTTTGGTGAAAAAATGACGAGTAACCGTGGACTAGAACAACCCTAAATGGAATTAATATAAGACCTGGTTTTCTCCTAGGACAAGAAAAGGAGGTTGGGGTGGGGAAGAAAAGACAAAAAAGTTGGCTGTGTGTTTTATTCTCATGCTCAGAGGCAAATTGTGGGGTGGGGTGTTTGTGTGTGTCTGTGTGTAAACTTTACCAGAAGCCTTAACAATAGCCTAATGGTATGCTCGCCTTTCCCCCTAGAGTTCTCTTACTTTCTGCCCAGTAGGAGGAGTCCAAATACCAGCTGTTCCACCAGAGGAACTAAAAAAAGCTACACCCTCAGTTCTCAGGAACAAGTGAGGAAAACCCTTCTGTCCCCGAAGGTGGACTCATGGCACCTGTTTGGGGTGAGATTTTTCCTTCTTTCTTTATTTAAAAAAGCATTATTAAAAGAGCCTTTTTGCAGGGCCATCATTTGTAATGATGACACATCACATTTCCTCAGTTCCCTGCGCAACTTCGTTTAACGCCATTTAAACAGAGGCACAGGCTCGCCTTCTGGTCAAATGGTACCTCATCTATCCTGGTGATTAAGTCGTTGGATAAAAAGGAGGGTGAGGCACACACAAGACAGCTACACCCAGCTACACTCGCCCACCCAGGTCCTTTCCACCTGATCTGCAGGAGTAGCTAGAGATGAACGAACAAACCAACACACACACACACATACAGCCTCCACTTCCCAGCTCAGCTCTCCCGCAAGTCCCTTAAATCTCGATATGGCTTGGTCCCCCTCGCCTCGCCCCTGCTACGTCTACTTGCACCCCAATCTGCAGGAAGCTGAGGAGGTAGGGTTGAGAATCATCACTTGTGGGTGCAGAATCGAAGTCCTGGCCAGGGTACCTGACCATACAGTACGGCTTTCAAGGTTTTCAGAAAACAACGTTTTGGCCACGTGCAGGAGTAGCATTCTGCCACAAGATTCAAGCAACTGGATTCTTCTTTGGTTTACATGTCTTTCTTAAAAGGTGAAAAAAAAAGAGAGTCAAGGACCAAGGGCAGTAATGTAAAAAAGGAAAGGAAAAAAGCAAGCTCAAAACTCTGATAAAGAAACGGAAACACAAAGTTTAAGATTTTAAAAAAAACCTAGCTGTTCTTCAGGATAAGTGTCCTTTTGGGGTGTTAATGTAGCTGATGCTTCTGAGACAGTACAGAAAGATTTAAAAAAAAAGAAAATAAAGGGAGAAAGAGGGGAAGGGAGGTAATCTGTCTAGAGTTCTGTCATCCTTGTGTGTGTTAAAAGAGAATGCCATCACCCAAAAGAGACTTTAGTGAATGGATCCGAACACCACACGAGGAAAACATTGGGGGAAAATAAAAAATTAGAAACACTTAGTTTTATTCTGAAGGGGGATAACCGTCAAGTACCTGCCAAAAAGCAGTTTTCTGGGGGGCTGGAGCGAGAACAGAAACCTATGTTCCTAGCTGTAACGCACCCTCTGCATTACATTGTACTCCTCCTTCACAGAATATGAGGCCAATCTAAAGAAAAGAGAGAGGGGGCTGCCACATTGACCTGCTAGTTATTTCACCTTACAACCAAAAACCCCCCAATAAAAGTCGTTATTTTAAAACTGAAATTATTTGGGATGACATGCTAATGCTGGTGCTATCAACAGGCAGGATACTTGGCTCCCTTGCAAAGGGCTCAAGAGTCCAATGCCGATCCCTCCGTGGAACCTCACAGCATTGAGCTCTGTGGGGTTTCCCCCCCCTTCCCCCCAAATGAGATGTAGCCTAAACTTTATTTTGCTTTTTGTCTTGTTTTTTTAAAAAAGAGGAACATATTTTTAAATATTGACAGTGGACCAAGTCCAGCCTCTTTACCCTGCTGCCAAGTCCGCAATTCTCCACACAGTGTGTGTGCACCCTGCATTTTGGAACCGCACCCGGGGTCCGTGGTGTTTGGAAGTTCACAGTACATGGAGCCATCTTTTCTCTCTGCTGCCCAGAGCGGTTAGTGCCTTTGCCGTTGCTCAGCACGAGACCAATCAATCTCCTCTTCCTTGGCCACTTAAGTTGGACTTAAGTCGCCATAGAACCTTGCCGAGAATCAATGATGCCTTGCTCTACGGATGGGACAAGAGCGCAAGAAGAAAACAAAGCACCCGATACCGGTTTCTGGAGGCCGTTTTGTGGATTCCTTGCCAATCCCGAAGGCTGCTTCTCAAAACGTCTCTGACTCTCTCTCGGTTTTCTTTCTGCAGTTCCGGTTATATATATCTTTTTGGCCTATTGTTCCTGCTCAGTTTGAAGAGCTGTTATTAGAGGATCCAGAGGTTGAGGCAATGGCAGCCGCAGCCGGGCTGCTTGTTGATACAGATTTGCGGATGTGAGGGAGCAAGTAGGGGTCACATGCTAACTGCTGAACATCTATTCGATCTTCCTTCCGGTAGGCCAGGCAGCGCCTGATAAATGCCTGGAAGACAAACAGAAAGAAGAGAAAATGGGCATGAGAAGTTGGTACTGGTAGCTCTTTTCCAAAAGCAGAAACAGGCTGGTTTTACTTAAAAAAGAAAAGAAAAAGAGATTAGATAAGTAAATTGTGTGTAAAACACACCCTCCTTGGCATCCTGCAATTGTCTAGATGGTCATGGAAGGCTCTTCTAGGCTAAGCTTTTACCAGGCACTACTATTCAGGTCTGGTGGAATGGCATAAAAAGCAGTAGCAGGGACTTCTCCCACCCTTTCTTTCTGCTCCCTCCCTCAGCCTGCTGCAGTAAGCTGGTCTCCAATTTTACCCATCAGGCAACTGGGTGAGTTGACAACAGAACCATGGAGTGAAAGTGAAGAGAGGAGCCATGGTTGCCTTTTTTCTCTCTTCAGCAGATCTGAAGAGATTTCAATCTTAGCTTCTGAATGGTGCTGCTTGCTACATTGTAGACAGGTGGTTTAGAGTGGGACTGAGTGGGTGAACCTTGAAGAGATGACTGATTCACCAGAAAACTACAGACCTTACCAGAACAATTCCTTCTGTTTGGATGGAGGAGGAAATTCAGTGATGGGTGTTAACTCCTATCCATCAGTGGAGGCAGAACTACCACTGGGGGAGTTGACCACTCAGTGTGTAAATACTACAGCTGAAGAAAACCAAACCCAAACTAAAACACAGCGGGTATACAGAAGAAAAGGGTTACAGGAACACGGGTCATCCATCTAAGGGTCTAATTCATCTAGTAAAGGGAAAGATCTTGTCTGACAACACAAGTCATTGCCAAGGTGGGTCTGGATGTCAGGTTCAGAGCGGAAGTGAACTTCACATAAAGTCCAAGGTTTTGCTCTAATACAGACAGAGGACACAGTGGTGTCCTGGAGGAGCTGGACTCTATTTTCTCCACTATGTAACTTGCTGTCAGACATATCTTTTCTAAAAGGAAGCTTTGATAGAGGCAGAAGATAAGCCACCAGCTGCAATGAGTTTTTGGCTCTGCTGAGGATCAATGGCCAACAAGTTTCAGGGCAATGATATGTTCCAAATCCCAACTGATGGGTGGGTGGAAAGCATTAGACTAGGCCGCCTTTGTTTTTTAGAGCTTTTAAAATATATACAATGGTACCTCAGAAGTTGAACAGAATCCGTTTCATAAGTCCGTTCGACTTCCAAAACATTCAGAAACCAAAGCGCGGCTTCCAATTGGTTGCAGGAAGCTCCTGCAGCCAATCAGAAGCCCCGTCAGACGTTTGGGTTCCAAAGAACGTTTGCAAACCGGAACACTCACTTCTGGGTTTGCGGCGTTTAGGAGCCAAAACATTCGACTGGCAACGCGTTTGGGATCCAAGGTATGATTTTATCATCATCCTGGTCATGAACAGAAAGGGGGATGGGGAGTAAAGATCTGTTGAAAATAGCTCTATGATTTCCTCAGCACAAGCTGTGGACATCCCTGCAACCTCAGTGGAAAAAGGAGAAACAGGGAGCCTTCCTCTCCTGGTAGAAATATGAAACATTTCTGCAAGTGGATAGGAAGAGTCACCCATTACTGAATGCTGCCATTTGAGTGAAAGCTAAAAAGGTGTCCTTCAAGTACAGATCGTCACTACATTTCCCCAAGCTTCTTTGCCAATACCAAATAGAAACGCTCTCTTACCTTTGCTTCTGGCGTTACCACTGGCTTTGGAGGAAACTGCACCTCTGTTGCTTTCAGAATTGTGTTCTCCTGCAGAATATCTTGTTGAGACTGGTTGTGGCCAAAAGGCTGGGGACGGGAGAGTGCAACATGCATATATTAGAACACGGTCATTATTCACATTTCAACAAGAGGGATCCAGTAGGTTTCACAGAAATGTAGCCATTTTTTTTTAAAAAAGCACATTAGGTTAATTTGTGGTGTACAAAAATCTGAAAATGTATAATGGGTTTTTGCTTAAAAGGTAGCAAAATTCCAGTCTGAACATGTTCTCAGTCGGGAAGTAAGATTTATTGATCCCATAGAGTTTCCGATCACTCAACATGCATCCCAATCACTGCCCCTTACCAGTTTGCTTCCCTCTCCTTTTCCTATAAGCATCGGCTCTCTCACTTCCCAAACCACCCCATCCCAAATCAGTTGGCAGAATCTAGAATATTAATTAAATCAATGCTGCATTTAGCAGGTGCAGTGCTAAGGTAAAATGAATGGAGGAGAACAAGGCAATATTGGCCCATCTCCAGGTTGAAGGTTGGTGACAAAGGAGGGCATTTTCAGTTGTGCTCATTTGTGGAATGTGCTTCTCAGTGAGCTATGCCTGGCACCTTCACTGATATTTTTATGGCTCTAGGTAAATACATATTTCCCCCAGGATTTTGGTAGACTAAAATGATGTTTATAATTCAGGTGCTTTTTGTTGTTTGGTGGTATAATATGGTTGCCTGGAGACCTTTGCTTGACAAAATTTAATTATTTAATCGAAGTTATAAAAGCTCTGTTTCCTGAGCACTGGAGCTTCTACTGAAGTTTCCTTGCACACGCTGAAAAATTCCTTCAAGTCATGACAACAACAAATGTGCTTAAAAAAATTAAACCAGAAAGCTTAAGTGAGTCTCAGGAACCTGAACTCTGCGCCGAAGACACCACAGAATTCAACAAAAAACTCAGTTTGCAGTTATGATTCAATAGTTCAGTAAATTCAGCAGCTGTCAAATTATTTTGCTTACCTTTCTGCCATAGAGGCACTGGTAGAATATTACTCCCACTGACCAGACGTCAACTTTATTTGAAATCTTTGGAGGCTCTTTCCCAACCACAAAACACTCAGGTGGTAAATACCTAGGGGGCAGAGAAATTAACAGCTGCAGACTAGCCATATTCAAATCCATATCCTTCCTCACTATCAACCTTCCATGCCTCTGAGTAGAAGTTACCAAAGGAGTGAACTCCATATTGCCAAGTACGGCAGTCATTTACAAGGTTGGAATCTTATTGCCACCCAGAGTGACTGGGACAACCCAGTCAGATTGTTGTTTTGATTATAATTATTAGCGTTGTAAGGATGTACGGATTATATTTCTTGGTGGTGTGAGACGCAAGCACTTGGAAGAGCTGTCCACCTTAACACAGTTCTTCAAGGTGGGCTCCACCATAGGTGCAGGGGCTCTTCCAGCAGCTTTTTGCCTTGTAAAAAAAAAAATGACTTGGCCCACTCAGCTGAATAACCTGCTCTTCACATGCTACGATATTATGGGTTGTTCAGTGCAAGAAACAGACCAGGGCACCCACCAGTAAGTGCCAGCCCCTTGCGATGTTAGCTCCATGCCATCGACTGAATTATAACTGTCATCATCCATGATCTTTGAGAGGCCAAAGTCAGTGATCTTAATCTCGCCGCATGCAGTACCATTTACCAAGAGGATGTTACCTGGAGAATAAAAAAACAAACAAAATTTCTAGGTGAATATGCCCAATAAATTTTGCAGGTGGGTGGGAGGGGCTGCTGAAGCAGCAGCCTGTTCCAAATGAGAATGCAGAACGAGGTCAAATACACTTATTTGTTTTCAGCCAGTATGACAGACCATCTCCAAAAAGCGACCTTATCAGAACTCCTCTCTCCTAAACAGTAACAGAGTGGTTTAGGTCCAGTAACAGAGTGGTTAAGGTCTGTTAAGGTCCAGCCCCTGTCCTAAGGCAACCATCTCCCATCCATCAGCCTTCTCCCACCTCCTGTTTAAAACATTTACCCATAATGCAACATGACACAAGCAGAGCACAGGAATAAAAATTGCTCTTTGCAGTTGAAGGCTCTGACATGAACACAAAAACTTAGGAAGAACCCCTGTTGGATCAGGCAAAAGGCCCATCTGGTCCAGCACTCTGTTTTCGCAGTGGCCAACCAGATGCCATGGGGAAGACCCCAAGCAGCTCCCGAGGGCAACAGAATTCTCCCACTTGCAAATTCTCCCAATGACTTCTTCCTATCCACTTTCTCTACACTATGCATGCACTGCTATCATGTCGTTTCCACCCCTGTCTTTTTTCTAAACTGAAAATCTTCCCACTGCTGTAACTTTTCCTCACAGGAGTTGCTCCAACCCCACAAACACTTTGGTTGTCCTTTTCTGAACGTTTCCCAGCTCTGCAATATTCTTTCTCAGGTGAAGTGTCCAGAACTGTACACAATATTTCAAATGCTGTTGCAGTGCAGATTTGTAGAACGACATTAAGATACCAACAGCTTTGTTTTCAATCCCTTTCCTACTGATTCCAAGCATGGAATTCACCGTTCTCAGTTGTCACATACAAGTCAACACCTTCGCTGAGCTACCTGCCCAATTCCTGGTCAGTCACCACCAGTTCAGACCCCATGAGCTTGTACGTGAAGTTAGAATCTCACCCCCCCCCAAATATGAATCCCTTACTTTGCTTACACTGAATTGCATTTGCCATTTCAGTATCTGTTCACCCATTTTGGAGATATCCTTTTGGAAGTTCTCACAATCCCTTTTTGTTTCAACTACACAGAAATATTTGGCATCATGAGCAAACGTAGGTACCTTACTGCTCACCCCCCCTAATTTAGAACATTTATGAACAAATAAAAAGCAGACATCCACTTTCTACATCCTTCCATCGAGAGAGCTGTTCATTTATTCCTGTGCTCTGCTTCACATTCCTTACCCTGTTACATATACATGACAAGATCATGCAATGATGGGCACTGGAAGCTTGCTTATTACACAACCAATGAACACGGCAATTCTCACAACAGAAATCTGCAGAATACAGAGTGCCCTGCCCCACTTTCTCATGCTGTTTCAGACCCACTATCAACATACCTGGCTTGAGATCGTAGTGAATAATGGGTGGCTTGATTTCATTTAAATATTTTAATGCATTCACAATCTGCATGATAATAGACCGGGCTTCCTTCTCAGTCATTAATTTGTGCTGTTTCAGGTAGAAGTCCAGATCGTTCCCCTCACAGTATTCTAACACTGTACAAAACCTGAAAGAAGTGAAGTCAAACATCTTGGCTCATGATATTATAACAGCGCTGCAAAGTCTCCTCCCTTTCTATCTGCAGGAATTTTGTAGTTGCAACTAGGGGCTGGCTTGTAACAAAACGTCTCACTGTGATAGGGTTACACCGGTTAGTTATCCTGGAAAAAAATACTCTTAACTTACTTCAGTTTGTTTAACTGGGTCAAGGGTTTTATCAGAGATTTAAGAACTTGTTCTATGGATAAACGGGAACTTTTCAATTATCGATTTACATCCTGGCCTTCTGGCCAAGGCCTCAAGGCATCACAAAACTGAATCCATTAAAAGCAGCATTTATAATTTAGACAGCAAAGTAAATTAACACAAAATAAATAAAATCACAAACCAATCTGCAATTACAGCATTATTGTTAAGTTTATTTTGACTGAAAGAGTGTCATTTGTTATTCCCAATGGGTCCGGTGGTTTGAATGTGGGAGAGTTTTTGTAATTTTTGTAATAGTTACAAAACCTATTACAGCTTTGTTTCCGTCCACACACACTGCTGCACATTCAATCGTGGCAATTAACAGGGCAGCAAGGCCACAGGATGCCCTCTGCCCCATTCAATTCCTTGCTGCGTGGGAATTCATCCCACATTGAAAGGGAATACATACTGGGGAGTGAGGGGTACCCTGAACAACACAACTGATCTCTTTTATAGACCCCTTTGTATTCTAAACCCTTGACACAGAATGTCTTACATGACACACGTCCCACTTTCACGTTGAGCTCTGAGCAATAAGGAGACCCAAGATTCCCAAGCACAGTCATTCAAGTAGCCAGTTTTACGGCAGAATTGCAAAAAGAGCAGCACTTACGAGTCAGTGTCCAGCGAGAAATAGTCATACAGCTTAACTATACGAGGATGATCCAGCTCTTTATGGATTCTGTATTCTCTACATGCATGCCTGTAACAACAAGGAAAATGCCCTTATTTAATTTTATATTCTTATTCTCAACTATCTACCTAAAATTTGGGGCAGGTTACAATGACAAAACTTTTTCTAAAAAAAATCAAACAAATCAGACCTAACATTTTTGTAAAATCACTAGCAATGGACATTTTGACCACCAAAACCCAATGCTATCGCACAGTTGCATTTCACTATATTTCTAGCAATAGCTCAGGCAAGAGAATATAGCTTCATTGCTCTGGATCAGGGTTGTGATTCCAGGATAATGAGGAACCTACAGAGAAGCTGAAGTGTAAGATGTTCTTTTCAAGGGTCTTTCTCTGCAGAGTCCCTAAACATTCTGCTCTTATCCCTCTCCTTTTCCAAAGCAGTTTCAGCTCCCTTCAAGTCTTGCTCCTTCAACCATTTATTGTGCTAACACGGGCAAAAATTAAGGGGTTTTTTTGGTTCAGAAGAGTAGAACCACCAGCTGTTTTTCAGACAGAAGCAATGAACCTCTTTTACTAACCACATTTTCATTTTAGAAGTTATGCCCTTTTTTTTACCCCCCCCCTTCTCTGCAGTCCAACATCCAGAGTTACTTACTTGTGGTAGTTCTCTTTCTTCTCATCCCTCCAGTTTTTATTTAACTGATGGATTTTTACTGCTACATATCTCTGTTCCGTTAAATCAAATGCCTGGAAGATGAAGGAGAGTGTTGATTCAGAATACTATCAGAGCTGACACCTCGACCCTAAACAAATTTCACTTCCTTGCACTGGGGGAAAAAGTCAGCAATTCCAAATTAATTTTAAACGATTTTGTGTGGATGTTGAACATTTTCTTTGAGACACCCCCACATAGTATTTTAGTAGGCAAATAACTTCATGCATAATGCTGTTCCCTAATCAGATTCTTTTTGTCAATAAGGATGTGAATTTCCCTTAGGATGCTTGCTTATAATGCAATTGCTCCAATATGAATGCATATATATATGAACGTACATGAGTGTTTGCAAGTTCATATGAATGCATTTATAAACTTTGCACCTCCAAAGTGAGATGAATATGATTCAAATTTAAAAACAAGGGAAGCCACCCAGTTGTGATAAGCACATGAACATGCCCTTTATCAATTCATGCTGAATGGTGAGGATCTCAGGCAGAGGTCTGTCCCACCTTTATTTCTTGAGATGCCAGATAATTAAGACACTGGCTTCAGAGTCATTTTATCAAGGAGTCAAATTAGGACAGCCAATCAGCCAAAGGAGATCTAACTTACCTTATATACTTCACTAAATCCGCCTCTGCCCAGGAGATGTAGCAACAAGTACCTGTCATTTAGTGTTGGGTGGTCTTTAAATCTGGAGAGGAGAAATTATTTTATTTATTCATGCAGCACCTGTAATATCATGATCTTCAGCTGAATAACTCAGAATAGTGATTATCCTGGGCAAAAGGGAGTTTCTCTCGGTATTGAGCCAGGTATACTAGTTCTCACACAATCGGTAACCCAACAAATTGTAGAGCTATGCACCTTTTAGATTTACATGCTGCTTGGAGGAACTACAGCCACCACACAACTGGTGAGTGATCAGGAGCTTTGAGATTACGGCAGTAGGGCACCTACAAGAGCAGGGAATACAGAGGCCTGTATTTTGATCATATCAAATGCTGCACTAGAGAGTGTGGCAGGATATGCGTTACATCTCCAGGGAGATCCACTATGGTCAGCCAGCCACAAGCAGCAGGTGAAAATGTAAAGGGGCTAGAAGAGCTTACTCCAAATCTCAAACAGATACTGCATTTGTTAATGATAGGTCAAGCACAATCTAGAATGTAAGCTCCTTTTTTGTTTCCTGATGTTCCCCTGTAAACATTTATGACACTGTATTAATACTAAAACAGCTAGCACCGAGTTGGCCCGTTCAGCATCAGAAGTTAAAGGTGACAAGTAAATAATGTCTTTAAAATTGTTGACTACCATGAGCTATTTAAAAGAATCATGTGGGGACATTAAACTGAAACAAAACAACCCTAAGGGTACAATACGGTTTCTCTATAGCAGGTATGGAAAACCTGTGGCCCTCTTATCATTCCTGACCATGCTGTCTACAGAAGTGTCCAAATTTCTTCAGTGCTTTTGCTTGTTAGACATATCACTCTGTGACAGACACCAGAGTGCTGGAGCCTCTCTCTGATCGGCGACAGAGTCAGCTAGCCACAAAGGGGGGAGGAACAGCACTTGGGGGGGGGGGACAATAAAAGGAGCAGTTTCCGAGGGAGTTTGATGGGTCTGGATTTAAGATGATAGGGCAAAGGTTCAGGTTAAGAGATAGGGTTTGACTGGAGTTGTGAGCTAGGGAGTGAGATAAGGAGAAATGGTTCACTGAGACTATCCATAGCGAGAGGACAGAGCCTCGCAGCTTGGATACGGAGACTGGGTTGGGGGTCTGGGAAAGGTATACAGACAGGAGTGTTCTGGGAGGGCTGTGACTGAACCGGGAGATCTTGTAGGAATACAGGCTACCTGGGTCTCAGTATAGCCAGGAGGGGAGAGTTCTTCTAGGTACTGAAGAATCCCGAACCATTAACAAGGAGTGAGGTGATCCCTTGGGTCTGTTATACTATTAAGAAGATCTCAGGTGCGGGATGGTTAAGAGAGTGAGTAACAGAGGAGACATGCTCCTTGCTTATGAACCAAAGTATTAATCCGCCGCATTATTAATTGTTGGTATTAAGTGGTAAGTCCGCTACACACTCTTAAGTAAAAAAGACATTTTGTAGCTATTTGGTGCCTTGCCACTTTGGGCAACTCTCTCATGCCCAATACTCACTGTGAATTATCTTCATTATGTATCCTTTTCAATTCCCTGATATGTAGATTTCTAACCCTCTCTAACCGCTCCAGTTCTGCCTGGATCTCTGCTTCTTCCTACACAAAGAAAAACATCACTTTAACAGCTATACCAAAAGTTAAATTTAAACTCTGTATACCTGACGAAAGGAACATGTTTGTCTTGAACAACAAAGCAGTTGCAGGCAGGGGAAAAGTTAAGCATTTTTACAGATTCTAATGGTGTTCAGAAAACGTACATGACTACTATGGCTTTGAACTCCTAAAATTAAGGGTTGTATCTTGTTCCTCCCTGTCGCCCCTGCTGAGATGATTCAATGTGAACCAGTTATAGTAAGTACTCCTTCCATCTCAATAAACATGTTTTTCTTGTGAAACAATCCTCAGACCTAGACTTTTACTTCTCTGGACTAGATGATAGTGACATGCTCAGCACAATCAGGGCAAAATGACTCAGGAGATCAGTCCTTTGTGGACAGATACAGTGCTACTAGAACAGGATTGTCTGAGCAGTGTGGAAAGCTCTAGTCTATTTCACAGCTACTGGGCTAAGAACCGAGGCACCGGAAAGGAACAAATGCCACGGACAGTTCTATTTCTTATTTCACTGCTGTGGGAATCAACCCGTTCAAATCAGTGCTTTTCCAACAGTGTGTTGATCAAGCTCATCTGATTAAGCAAAATGAGACGATCAGTAAAAAGAAAACAAGCTTCCCCTGAAAAGAGCTTGCCCGTCGCTCCCAATCTTCTCCTGCAATGTGCACAAGCGAGAATGTTGTTTATAAGAGCTAGTATTTTGATCACTTCAAGGGGTGTTAGACTGCTTTGGGATTAATGCTGAAGAGTCATACAGACACAAAACACAAGATGGCAGCTGAAACCACTGCCTCTCTGAAGTAATTTTGCAATACAATATTTTACCTTTTTAAGATGTCCTAGCCGGAGTTTGAAGATTTCCTCCTGTTCATGATATTCTGCTAACGTTAACCTGCATGTGCACAAAATAAGTGGTCCAAAAGATTACTCTGAAGAACAAATAGCGGGATAAAGGCAGGTGACAAAAAAAAAGAAGACAGGCCTGGGACCCATTCCTGCTTCCCCTTTTCATTTTTGTAACACTTTACTGGGGTTTCCTATGCCTACTGAATACAGCAGTCAGGCCACTGGTTCAAACCCAGCCCAATATTGTCTAGTATGACTACCAGCACTCCAAGACAATCAAGGCAAGTGTGTTTCCCAGCTCTGCTATGAATGTCTTAAAAAACAACAACAGAGGTGCCAAGGATTGATCGCATGTGTTTCACTTAAAAATCTTATGCTCTATCACTGAACTAAGTCCCCCCTCCTCTTGTGCTTGGCATCCATCACTCTGCCCTTCCAAGCATTAAGGGACTGCCCCAACTAAGACTCCATACTTACTAGGGAACAGGTGAGGAACCTCCTTCACCCATTGCCCAGGGATGCATTCCTTTGGGGTTAATGTGTAGGAGGCCAAATTCCAGCAGAGGGTGCTAACACCACCCCAGACATCTATCTATCCACCTCCTTCCTCTCATTCACACAGATCCTCCGTCTTCATTTCCCTCACCCATCTACAGAGAACACCCCCCCCCCAACCTAGGAGATGTTGCTCTTTTAAGGAAGACCCACAATGTAGCCCTTCTAAGAAGCTGCCTGACTCTGTTATTCTAAGCCTCCTTCATCTGTTTCACTTCAGAAGTGCCCCCACCCCGCCAAAAGCGCTTGCTTTTTCCACTTCCTCCTCTAGGCTAATCACTATGTTTTTCAAAGAACTTTTGCATCTCTCCCTGCAAGAGAGGTGCTGAGGAGAGGGTCACGGGCAGATTGTAAGGACGTGGTCCTGAGTGTCATTAAACTGAGCCTTTACTAGGCAGAGTACAATATCTGTCACGCCAGTTTTCGTCCATCACTTTATGAGAAAGGGCAGTGCTGTACAGTGGTACCTCTAGCTGCGGACTTACTCCATTTCTGGGTGCCGTTCACACCCCAAAAAGTCCGCAACTAGAGTGCCTTTCTGCGCATGCGCAATCAAGTGCTTCTGCACATGCGCGAAGATCGCTTCTGCACATGTGCACGTGGCGAACATGCCGCGTTTGTAAGCTGAAAGTCTTTAACAAGAGCGGAACGCAACTAGAGGTACCACTGTACTTACTTTGCATGATGTGGAATTTGGTGTGTGTACTTGCACAAACAGAAGTACCTTTTCCAATAGAAGCAAGTTTGTGGCTGAGGCAAAGCCAAATATTAACAGCAACACTTTCAAACCAACTACTAATTATTTTAAAACACGTGGACTGCAGAAAAAGGGCTCCAATAATTTTGTATGTTTTGGGGAGATCTACTGTGGAAAACCTGAGAACTTCAGCCATAAGCTATTCTTTGCATTTCAAGCGACTCATAGAAAGCAACCAGATTTTTTTTTTGCAGCACTTACGTTTCATTTTCCGCTCCATTTGTCTTGTTTTTACGCTGCTTCTGCTCATTGGTTGCTGGAGGGGCCTGCCCCATGGCAGGTGGCTTCCGCTTTGCTAACATTTTCCGTTGCCTTTCTATCTCTTCCCTTTGGGAATTTATCCTCTCTTGTTGCCTAAACAAAAGCAGGACATGCACACAAATTAGAGAACAAAATATAATACATGACACAGAGAAGTGGCTCATCTGCATTCCTGGGCAAGCATATTAGAAGCGTTGGTTTCTGGTCATATTTGCTACAACATACCATATTCTATGTTACAGAAAACATACAACCCTGAATTTTTGCAGTTTATAAAACTTGGGACAAGTGACAGTGATGCAACTGTTGTGATCACATGAATACCACACTATCAGGAAAGGGGCAATGGCAAGTTTTATAAAGGTGTGATGGAGGCCTGCACATGCCTTGACTACCAAATTTGCAGGCTGTCACCTGCTACTCCTAGTTTTCACCCTTATGATACTGTATATTTAAGTGTTAGAATGCCTCTTCATGAGGCAATGTTTACTGGGGCATCTACTGATCAGTGGTAAATACAGGTGTATCTCAACATATATTTAAGATGTGTTATTGTATATGCAGTTCTACAGCTCATGGCTTAGTGCAGCAATACTATTACTTAGCAAAGTACCGTATTTTTCGCACCATTGGACGCACTTTTTTACTCTTAAAAAGCAAGGGGAAATGTCTGTACGTCCTATGGAGCGAATGTGTGGTCCCTGGAGCCAAATTGCCGGAGTGCGGCACACTCTTGGACTGGTCTTTGGTAGTGGTGGCGGAGCCGCGCTCCCCTGCCGGCAGCCTCGGCTCCCCCCTGCAGCCCCAGGAAGCTTTGGAGCAAGGGGAGGGCTGTGTGCCCATCCCCCGCACTCCTGGGCTGCTGAATGGGGGCGGGGGGGGGAAGAACCACGCTCATCTGCCGGCAGCCTTGGCTTCCCCCTGCAGCCCCGGGAAGCTTTGGAGCAACGGGAAGGCTGTGCGCCCATGCCCCACGCTCCAGGGCTGCTGAATGGGGTGGGGTGGGGGGTTGCTGCTCTGACAGCAGCCTGCCCTTCCCCTCAGGGTTTGGAGCAGTGGGCAGGCTGTGCGGCCATGCCCCACACTCCTGGGCTGCTGAATGGGGGTGGGGGGTGCTGCTCTGCCAGCAGCCTGCCCTTCCCCTCAAGGTTTGGAGCAGCGGGCAGGCTGTTCACTGAGAGAGGGGAGGAAGAGGACGGAGAGGAGGGGGACCAAGAAGCTGGGTGAAGGGAGATGAGGTACCATAGGTTGCCGTGAGTGGAGAGTCATGGTAGAGGGCAAAGGAGAGGGAGCAGTGAAGGGGAGAAATTGTAGATGTCACCTGAGGAGTTTGGGTGAAAGGGATGGAGAGGAGGCGGCTGGAAAAGGGGACTGTTCTGCTTGGGTGGGGGGGAGAAAAAAGTGGGGAAAAGGAAAGCCTCCCAAGCCTGCCGCTGAGAAGCTCTGCTTGGCTGTTTCTTGACTGTAATTCAAGTAAAGGGAATGTTTGCGAGCAGCTGGCAGGCTGTTCGCTGAGAGAGGGGAGGAAGAGGATTGAGAGGAAAAAATGTGGCATTAGCAATACTTTGGATGGATACGAAGATGGTATTTTACATGAAGATAGCGAAGAAAGTGATGTCAGTGACTGTGAGCAACTGAGCTTCATAAATTCTGACTTTAGCAGTGATGAGTTCTTGGGGTTCACAGAAGACTAGAAGAGTACTCAAACCTTAAAGTCTCTCTTCATTTGTTAATGACAGTGATGATGGTTCTTAAGGCCATTGTTGACTGCTGTTCACTTTACATGGCTGTAATGTGATTCTGATATACCGGTTGTTTATTAAATACAGTAATTTATACAACATTTGATTCAGAATATTTTTTCCTTGTTTTCCTCCTCTAAAAAGTAGATGCGCCCTATGGTTGGGTGCGTCCAATGGAGCGAAAAATACGGTACATCCCTCCCCCCCAAAAAAAACAATTTAGCAACTCTGTCCGGATTTTGGAAATATGGCAACCCTATTGTTAAGTATGTCACCTGCCCTGAGTCCTGGCAAACAGGGTTCTTTTAAAAATATACACGTTTTGTAGAAGCACCTTAGTTACATATGGATTCGTGAAAAGGACAAGTCAAGTAACTGCCTGTACACTTTGCCGCCATGAGAAAAGGCAGAAGTTGCAGTTACGGCACTTACTTGATAAGGTTCTGGAAAGCGTAGCCATCTGTCCACTGCTCAGTGTAAGACGCACCGTGCCGCACCGTAGCAAAGTGACCCAGTCTCAGCCGATCCTGCATACTCTTATCTCGACATGCCATCTTTTCCTGCTTTGACTAGGGAGAGAAGGATAGTATGAATCAACGCTGCCACAACTGGGGTTCACCACACTGCTAGTCAGTCAATGAGGACCGAAAATATGAACGATGCAAACTTTAACACTCCTCAAGTGTAGAAAGTAGTCTGTCATGTGCAAACCTGTGGCCTGCATATGGTCCCTTACATGTGGCTTAGCAACTGGCTCTTTGTAAAGAAAGAAAAAGGGCTACATACACACATTCAAACCAAAAGTGCTGCATGCATACGCCTGGGAGGGAACAAAATGGGAGATTTCCATCAAAATGAATGGTAGCTTATAGCCTTTTGAATACAATTCAAGCCAGGGCCTTTTAGATCAGAGCTGAAGGAGGAGGAAAAAAAGTGGCTCTTTATCCATGCATCAATTATAAACAGCAAGAGATGTTCTCAAAGGCTACCCCACTGTAATAAACGTCACAGCCCGAGCCACACTGTCTTCCTGATGCAACACAGCTTGGTTTTGAGGTTTGGCAACTTTCACTGCTCACCTCTCTAGTGTTGTAAATGTCATTACAAATTTGAGTCCACAACCCAAAAATAACTTTTGGTGATGGTGAGCATTTGTTCTAAATGCACCTCCATGTGACAAGGTCTGAATTAGGATTTTCAGTGGGTCTCCAGGATATAGCGGAAGTCACTAGGAAGGGGCATACTCAAAAGCAATGCTCATAAAAGATGGTGGTAGTTATACTACAATAAAAATTTGGAGGGGGACTGTAGCTCAAAAGCAGAGAAAGTGTTTTGCAGAAAGTGCCAGGGTGGACTCAAGCCGATCTGACTCAGTATAATAGGTACCTTTGCATGCATGTCCATATGAGTATGATAAAACAATGTCCTCGTGGACCCAATACATTTGTGCAATCCTTACTCCGATTAATGTATGCAAGTTACAGCAGGATACAAGTTCCAACAAAATGCACAGAACTGAAGGGCTGGGAGGAGAGAAGAGGGCAAAGGTGAGAAGGTTGTAAAGGGCAATTCGGAAGCCAAAACTTACCTTTTCTATAAGAAGCTTCTTGCTCATTGTCACACATCTATTCAACCGTTCTTTGTACTTCTCAAGCATTTTCTGTTGTTCATCTATCTGTCGCCTTAAGTCACAATTTGCCTGAAAATAGAAGTAATGCTAAGCAGGTAGCCAAACAGAGAACAGCCAAAATCTCACCTGGATGGCATGCAGGCAGAGAGGGAAATGATGAAGATGCTGTAGTTGTCAAAATATAGTACCAGAGAACATAGAAGGCACCACAGTGTTCAACTGTTGGGCCATGGAGGAATTTTAGTCATTTCACATTTGTATTAAGTGGTGTAGTCATAAGAATATATATATTTTTTTAAAGGGTTCTTTGTTTGAATAGAAAACAAATTCTTCATTGGAATAATCAGGTTCTGCAAGAACATGGTTGGGTGCTTCAAGAAATCCTAGCCCATCTACAATTTAATCCCATTATACTAACAAGTTCCCTATGTTATAGATACATTCTCTCACTTTACATTACCGCTCTATGCGTTAAAAAAGTATTATTATTTTTAGAAGAGTTTACAGGTGTACTTACTCTCAATAGGTCATCTATCCTGCCTTCTTTCTTCTCCAGGTCAGAGTTCTTACTGTTTTCTAGTGCAGATATTTTTTCTACCGTGAGATCAGACTGCAGGAGGAAGAGGGAAAGAGCTCAATGAGAAAAATCACCCAAGAAGTGATTGGGTGTTTCAAGGACAAAAAAGCATGTCAAACACGAGTCTTTTGTTCCTTCGTGACCAATGAATGGAACAACCTGAAATTATGGAGAAAATGTTTTCCCTTACAAAAGGCAAACCAAAACATCAGGCAAATGGTACAGCTGGAGCTGAAATCTTTTCACATCTGTCATAAAAGCCTTCTCTAGTCCCTAAGGGGAAAAAAGAGCTGAGATTTCCCAAGTGTAGCAAAGCTGGCAAAACTCCATTCTAATCCCAGTGATGTGGGGTCATGGGGGGAAAAGCAAGCAACAAGCCATACAGGCCGGGGAACCTGTGGTCCTCCAGGTGTTAACCCCCATTAACCCCAGACAGCAAGGCTAATGGTTTGGGATGGTGGGAGATGTAGTCCACCATCATCTGGATGGTGCAGGTTCCTCACCTTTATCTTAGGGCATAGTTTGTATTCCCTGAAACTTTGTGGGGGAAACAGAATCACACCACTGTCACTCAGCACACTAAATCTATAAAGGGTATGAGAGGCAGGGTGGGTATGACTGTGTGTGGAGCTGACATGCCTTTTGCAGACATTGCCTATGAACATTTTAATCACGCTCCTCCCAAAGCGTGTTACATCCATCCAAAATGGTGTGCCTTTGAGCAAGCCACTTTCCCCTCAGAAAAGCAGCCTACCTTTCAGGGGGTATTGGGTCTTTTTCTACCTATTTTCGGTTGGTCACCTTTTCAAAATGCAACACTGCCACAAAGCTTAAAAACTGAAACCACGGCTGGGTTTCACAAGATCCTATCGTCTTCAATGAGAAGATCAGAATCTGGGGACTCGTTTCCCTGAAAGGCAGCTTGTCCACCAACACCAAATTTCCCCTCCGTTATATAACCAGAAGGGTGAGTTCTGGGCAGCTGTCTCACCTCCACAGTGCAATGGTGTAGCCCCAAAGGCTGGGGACCCCTCCTTGCACATCCCAGAGGCATTTACAATTTAAAGGGACTCCGCAGCAGATGCATATGGGATCCTCAGCAGAAAAATCCATCTGAAAGGGTCCTAAAAGTTTGAAAGCCATCATTTTATATGGTTGCCCTGATCAGAGGCCTCTTGGTATGAATAGGAATTTTGAAGAACACATGGAAATCCCATGTGCAGGCAGATTCTTTCTTTTGGGGATGGTGATGCATGTGTTGGAAACGCCAGATGCAGATCACAGCACTCAGAATTGTTCAGACCGCGTGCACCATGAATACCCATTTTGCAAAAGGAGTTAGGGTTGAAGGACAGAAGCATTTTAAAATAAACAAATGAACAGCAAAATAAAAGACAACTTTGTCTATCATTGGGGGGGAAAAGAGGAACATGACAATGGTGGGAGGCTGGAGGCAAGAAAAATAGCATCTCCTCTGGAAATTTGCTGACCAAAACACATTGTTTTGAATAAGCCAACAATATCCCTAAGGCTGAAGGCACTTAGAAGGAAACAATTGATAATGGAATAAACATTAGCCTTCTTCTGGCATAGCTATGTCACTACCTCATTGCCCTCCATTATTTCTCCAATGATACGTGTTTGACTCAAGCAAGATACAACACAGACATTGCAGTACATTGTTCATCGGTTTTATACCTGTGTCTGTTTATGCTGGACGGAAATCTGTTTTTGGGAGGTGCAGGAATGCTCTGTGTTCCCTGAACCCGTTGAAGAAGGACTGCCTTGCTGGGCCTGCAGGAAAAGGAGTAAATGAAGGACATGGGCTGTAAATTAATAGGATGGCAAAGCATTATGTCAAACACACACTCTTCCCAGCTGTTACCTAAGGTTAAAGAAAGCAATCTTATCTTGCCTAGCTGAGTGCTGTCAATTCTGATAGGCAGCAGGTTTCATATTTCCAAGGAAATAGAATTAACATCAGCAGTAACAGAGCCAGGGTGCTGCAGGTTCCCTTCCCTATTAAGAAAGGTAGCTATGTTTGGGATTTTTTATTTTACAGAAAAGGCGAGCAAGCGGTGACATCATAGAAGTTTATAAAGCTATGCATGCCATGGAGAAAGTGGACAGGGAAAAGTTTTTCTCCCTCTCTCGTAACGCTGGAACTTGTGGACATCCAATGAAGGTGAATGTTGGAAGATTCAGGACAGATAAAAGAAAGTACCGTATTTTTCGCTCTATAAGACGCACCAGACCATAAGACGCACCTAGTTTTTAGAGGAGGAAAATAAGAAAAAAAAATATTCTGAATCCCAGAAGCCAGAACAGCAGGAGCGATCGCTGAGCAGCCCTCTTGCTGTTCTGGCTTCTGGGATAGCTGCGCAGCCTGCATTCGCTCCATAAGACGCACACACACATTTCCCCTTACTTTTTAGGAGGGAAAAAGTGAGTCTTATAGAGCAAAAAATACGGTACTTCTTTACACAACGCAGTTCCCACGGGAGGCAGTGATGGCCACCAACTTCAAAGGCTTTAAAAGAGAATTAGACAAATTCATGGAGCGCAGGGCTATCAATGGCTTCTTGCCATGATGGCTATGGTCTCCACTGTTGGAGGCAGCAATGCTACCGAATACCAGTTGGGAAGAGTGTTCTTGTGCTTCAATCCTGCTTGCTGGTTTCCCATAGGCATCTGTTCCGCCACTGTGAGAATAGGACGCTTGTCACTGGCCTGATTTAGCAGACTCTTTTTATGTTCTTATGTTTAAAAGTCTGTCTGATCACATGCACGGGGCTAGGTCCTGATTAAGTCACACTTTATTTCCATTAAATCAATGGGATAAGCTAGTCATGACTAATTAAATCCCCTTGATTGCAATGGGACAAAATGAACAGCTAACTACATCTGGACCCAACCTACAGTTAAGATGATTTAAAAAGCACATTAGAGATCATTTCCAGGAAAAGAGCCAAAATGCTTTTAAGAAAATGAATTGTTTGTAAAGTCTTGAATGCATTTCTTTGGCAAATGCCTGGGGTCTGGGGCAGTGACACAAAGATTTAGCTGTTGGAGCTAAGAGGCTCGAATGACAACCCTAGAAATGCAATTTGCTTTGCAATTAATAAGCCTGTACAGGCTAACAGATTCTTTCTATGGATGCATTTCAATGTGGAATCTTAGGAGACACTGCAGAAAAGAGGGGTGTGTGAATCATGAGAAATAAACATTTTAAAGTTGAAGCACTTGGCCTTCTAAATAAGATTAGGTTACATTTCACAATCTGAAGATGTAATTGTCGGAGTAAAGGAGCACACAACTTGTTCAAAGCCAAGCGCTACCTTGGAAGCCATCTTGCCCATTTTAGTTGCTACTTACTAGTTTAATCAACATGCCGAACTTACATGTGATGGCCACTGAGCCACTCCTGCAAAAGAATTGACTATGCTACCATATCTTGAAGATGAAACCATTAAATAACAAAAAAAAAAACTTTAGTATATTGGTCTTTCAAATCATGAGAACTGGAAAAGCTGTGATTCTCTAAACTTCAATTTGTGTTCCATTTAGAAATGGGCAGCTCCATTTCATCACCATGAAGAGCTGGAGCTCCATTTCATCACCATGAAGGGATGGGAGAGAGGTAAAGCAAGGAAAATGGGAGGGAGAGGAGGCCCCAGAGAAAGGAGTACCTCAAGGTGGGAGTCAATGAAGTAGGGTTTGGGGGAAGAGTACTTCCTAAAGAAAAAAAGAAAAGCTAAAACCTTTAGCTAGTTTTGCTGTCACAAGCTGCAACCACTGAGGACTAGAATTTGAAGAAAAAGAAAGAAACCTGAGATTCTAATAAGGGGGCCATACAGATGTGGGGGGGGATTGGATGCTATCCACCCATGTCAGACCCATTCAGACCCCCTTGAGTGTGGCCATTAAGACCATGCTCACCGAAGAAAATGGAAAACAGAGGCTTGCACCCCTCTGGGCCAGCTGCTCGCCCTCTAGCCGCTGTTTCGCCAGCATCGCCGACACCAGCGTTGGCAGAGCAGAGTGATCCTCCTGCAGTTCCTTGGCTGCGCTGTTGTCTACCCCGTAAAGCGGCTGCTCCATTCGCCGCTGTAATACATTTAAAGAAAACCACAAGATACTTTGAAGAGAAAAGAAGGAGGGAGAAGTAGGGTCATAGATAACAAATCTGATCCATGCATTAGTAAATACGGCAGCTTGGAAACAGCGAGGAGAAGCAATGGGAGGGAGCGAGGAAGCGTGTGATCTAGCTACCAAAAGCGGCCCCATTACTACTAGGAAAATAAAAGACGCAGTCCCTGATGCCTTTGCACCTTTTTGGGCACAATGGAAACCTATGGTATTAGGTGGAAGAAAAGTACCGAGCCTCAGACTCACAGGCTTCCCAACCACCTCTCCTCCAAATGCTACACCACAGGCATTTAGTTCTATTGCTGTATTGCTCTTACTGTTAAGAAGCTTCTCCTAATGTTCAACCAAAATGTACCCTCTCTTAACTGGAACCTGTTAGATCTTGTCCTGCTCTCTGTGGCAGCAGAGAACAAGTTTTTACCCTTTCTGATAGAATAGTCTATCAGGTAGAGGAGTGTTGTTATCACATTCTACCCCCACCCAAGTCTCCTCTTGTCCAGGCAAAACTTATCTCTATGTATTGAATGAGAACAGAAGGGAAAAAGGCATTACAATATGATGGAAGAGACTGCCAAGCATTAATTTCTCTGGGTTGGTGCAAACTTGCAACATGGACCATCCTCTTACTTACACACACACACACACACACACACACACACACACACACACCCTGCCCCCAGACTTGTCTCTTTTGAAGAAGTGACAAAGAAAGGCCTCAACTCTTTAAAACATGTAAGGTTGATTGGTGTCATTCAGCTTCTTTTAGTTCCCTTTGCTTAATCGTCTTACATCTCTGGTTGCTTGATCTGAATGAACAGCCAGATCTAGGTTCATTGGCATTAACAAATATGCTTTAGTCCTTTTTCCCTGTTCATGAATGACGTCTAGTACCATTGCCAGTTTTCCTATACGGTGAAATGACATGGGGTCTATTTACTCTCATACGTTTGGGAACCTGCAAATTCTATCAGCATTACTTGACTACCACTGCACCCAATTTTTAATGGTGCTTCTTGGTTGCCACATCCTTATTCATACCTCCTGCCTGCACAGGAGGGGACTTGTAGTTTTTTGAGATAGTGTGGCATACCTTTGTCTCTCAAATGACATGAGCTGAAGTTCCCTATCATTCTAGAGGGGGGCCTGGAACAACAGCTCACTGTTACTTGTTCTAACCCTGCTTCTGATTGGCTCTAACGCTTCTTACAAAAACTAGGCATATTATACAGACACACAGATACAGGGAAATAAGCTTGGATGAACTTCAAGCATGATCAGCACTTCACCACGAGGGGGAAAATGAGGCTAGTCCAGGCTAGATCCTCTAGACCCAGTAGTGTGTGCTCATCTCTACCATGCTCAGCTTGGGCCCTGAAAAAACCAAACCCAAACCTTGCAAATGTTTCCTATAAAAACAGAAAACAGGACATCCTTCCAATGATATATGTATACAACATTGGGAAAAACATACACCATACCTCCTAAAAAGGATGAAGTTAAAAGCTGACCCTGTCATTTGTCAACACGCATGCACATAACAATTACACACTTGCTCAGTCTACATGTACAGAATGACTTTTTGAGAATATTACAGTGGTACTTCGGGTTAAGTACTTAATTCGTTCCAGAGGTCCGTTCTTAACCTGAAACTGTACTTAACCTGAAGCACCACTTTAGCTAATGGGGCTTCCTGCTGCTGCCATGCTGCTGGAGCACGATTTCTGTTCTCATCCTAAAGCAAAGTTCTTAACCTGAAGCACTATTTCTGGGTTAGCGGAGTCTGTAACCTGAAGCATATGTAACCTGAGGTACCACTGTATATCCTGCAGAAGATAAATGTGCAATTGAGGTTGTAATAAACAATTCCTTTTCCATTCTTCCAGCTGAGTAAACTGTAAAAACAAGTACTAGATATGGTTTTAAGGTATCTTTAAAAAAAATATGATTTATTACGTGCCCTCTTCCAGAAGGTTTCAGGGTGGGTTACAGCAATATAAAATGCAGCTCGAAGACAGTTTGAAACAAATTGCAATCACAACTAGAGGGGGTCTTAAAATGTAGTGTCAACAGATAGGGTAAACAGGTGCGACTTCAGCATACAACAAAACATATCCAAGAAAGGTGCCAGATGCACCTATGTGGGGAGGGAATTCCACAATTTAGGAGCTGTCATTCCCCCCCCCCCAACCTCCATCATTTTATTTGTATGCCCCCTTTCCATAGTTAGAACCATGGATTTTCCACATCTCAGATTACCTCTGTCAGCTCAGTTAGGAAGGCTGTAATGCAGTGAGGTGAATGCCACACCAACAAAATCCCTGTTCCGCCCAATGCCACAAACATTCCCTCAAATTCAGAAACAGTGTGGACTGTCCTCCTAGTGAGGATGATTCTGACTCTCCCTCACCGCCCCTCTGACCTGAACGGTGCTGCAGCAAGTACCCAGGTGGGTAGCTGCAGTAGCATACAGCCACCAAGCTCATCTGCCCAGCTCTCAGTTATGAATGCCAACTCAGCCCCTGCTATTAAATTGTGGACAACAGATGTTTTATTCTGGACAGACTTGGCAGTTACCACCACCACCAGGTGAGCTGACTGGCAACCCCCGACTCTGAAGCACAGCAGGAAAAGCAGAGGGAGCAAGGGCTTTGATGTAACAAGCACTCCCCACCACTGTATATCTTTGTTTGCCTCCATATCTACCTCCATTTGCCATCATGGTAGTCCCATTCCCCTCTGGGGCAAACCCATAACTTCCCTAACCTGCCTCTTCTAAAACTTGTTCCTGAGCAATTTAGAATCCTTTAAAAAAACCTACAAAGACACAGAAAGGTATGGTGATGTGGTCAAACCAAACCTCTTTGTTAAATTATTTGTCCTAGGGTTAGTAATGGTACTTCTAGCTCAAGCTACCTTATGACAAAATCACACACATAGGTGGACACACTTGTCATTTCTGTGTAGTTATTTACAGCAATGGATAACAGACACTGCCATTAAATTTTACATGGGCAGGAGAAGGAAAAGCAGTGCTAAGAAGATTTCTATCTTGCCCTATGCCCTTGAAATGTTGAGTCATGGTGGTTTTCAACTTTTGATTGGCCTTCACTCTTCTAGAAATATAGTTCCTGCCACATCTCGTTCGTATGTATGAGCCTCCTCCTTTGAAGATTACCTGCTGCCTAGCTACTGCACACACACCTTAATCAAACAGAGCCCAACACTGGGTTAGACAGACAGCAAAGACAGCGGGAGTAAGAATTCAGGTAGAAGGAATGTTAAGGGGAGCATTCAGATCCCAATACCTGAACCCTGGAAGCTTTGCACTACCAGCAAGGATTTCTGAATCACCACCTATTAGGTTTGTAAACATTGCTTAAATTTGAAGTTCATAATGAGCTTTAATAAAAAAAATATAGAAATGATACCCTTTTCAGGGTGCCACATTACTCACAAAAGCCCACATTCTGTCCCTTTGAGTGAATACTTACAGGTAAAGGATTTGATAAGGAATGCTGTGGCGATGATCGTGCAACAGGTGGCACGCTTCTTCCAGGACTTGTTCCTGGACCGCTTCCCCCAGCAAACTAAAATTTGGAGGGGACAAAAAAAGTAGACCAGTAAGTTCATGGAAACACTGTGAAAGTTTCACAGAGCAAAGCACACTGCACAGGTGCATAGAAACTGGGGCACAGAAAACTATGCACACAAGGGAACAGCTACAATCAAGATCTGGGTTTTTTTGCCCTAAAACTGTTTTAAAAATATAAAGAAGACAGTTCCCTAGAAAATTTAGTCATTTAACTGCAAGGGGCCCCCTCTCTAAGATGTTTACATATTATTTAGAAGAGTCCCTGTCTCTAACCTACATGGAAAGAATTTGCAAGGACATCGTTTTCTGAAAAGTTACATGTAAAACTGGCTTACCTCAAAATAATCACTAATTTTATGTCCCCTTGGAGTGACTTTGCCTGGAAGGAAAAAAAAAACAGATGGTATTAAACCTTCAAAATCAAAACACTCTCATGCTTCAGGGTTTAATTCTTCTTTTTAAAAATTGTCTTGGTTTTGAGATAAGAAGGGAATTGGGTAGTACCAAAGATTATGGATGTGCCTGTTTATTATAAGGGAATTTGCAGACTCAGCTGTCCATGTGCTGTAGCATTCTGCTCCTCTTAACATGTAAGACTCTTGATGTTTTTTGTGAGGGGGGAAAAAAGGATCCTGCACAGCTGGCTTCCTTCTTTAAGTGAGGATTGTGCATGTACTTTTCATGTAAATGACAGCTACATTTTAGGAGGACTCCCTCCTCACACTTCAGATGGTGTGTGTCAGAGTAGTAGACTAGAATGAGACAGAGCCTCTGTGTTGATGCAGAATGAATACCAATTAGGACCAACCTCTGAAACGACACAGTTCCGGGATAGTTACCAAGGGACTATCTGAAATGCAACACTTATTCTCAAAGATTCTCTGTCGCTCCCCCAAAAGTATGTTGGAGAAAAGGACAAAGACATGTGTGCATGTGAGCACACACAGAACAGCAAAAGGAGCAAGTGGCAACGGAGGTACAACTGACAAGAGCTCAAAGAATGTGTGTGCATGAGTTCAAAGGTTCTTGGAAGAGGCACATAAATCGCTGCTTGAATGGCATTTGAAGGATGAGGAGGTAAATTCGGTTATGATTCATTGGGCTAAAGATTTTGGGTATAATATACAGCTGAGTGATTGGGAAAAATTATGGAAAGAGGGTTTAAAGTTTACTGCATGCAATGCCTTAAAAGAAAATGTGATGAAAATGATGTATAGATGGTATATTACACCTGTTAAATTAGCTAAAATGTATAAAGTTAGCAATAAATGTTGGAAATGTAAAGAAAAAGAAGGAACATTTTATCACATGTGGTGGGAATGTAAAAAAGTGAAAAGCTTCTGGGAAATGATATATAATGAGATGAAAAAAATGTTGAAATATACATTTATAAATAAATCAGAAGCATTTTTACTGGGCATTGTAGGAAGTGATATAAACAGAAAAGAATATAAGCTGTTTTTATATGCAACAACGGCAGCAAGAATATTATTGGCACAAAAATGGAAGCAAGAAGAATTACCGACGAAAGAAGAATGGAGGATGAAATTAGTGGACTATGCAGAACTAGATAAACTAACAGGAAGGATTCGAAATCTGCGGAACCAGAAATTCACAGAAGACTGGCGTAAATTTACAGACTATTTGAAAAGTAATTGTGATGATCAGACTACGTTTGTAGGTTTGCAAGAAGTTTTGTGAGGTGAATTATTGGAACTATCGCAAAAATGTATAAAGGGGAGGATGGTTAGTTAAGATAATTAAGGGCAATATGAATTTAAGAAATGCATAAGAAGTGGTCAAAACGGTGGATCAGCAGAGGTGCTGATGGAAATCCAAAAAAAGACTGTATATGTGGTGAAGTTTTGTGGTATGTACTATAATTTATATGTTAAAATTAATAAAAATTATTATAAAAAAAAGGAAGAGGCACATAAAAGAAACTGAGGATGGATGCGGGAAGACATGGTAGAAGTGGGTGGATAAGGAGCAACCATAATGGGGCCAGAGAAGGAAGTGTCATCAGTATGGGCCATGATTCCAGACTATGCAAAGGTTGCTCCATATGATTCTTGGGATTAGGTGCTTCTGGGTGATTTGTCAACACCAAAAATGACCACTTAAGAAAGGAAGCATCAGAAAGGGAAATTTTTTACTCTTCCTCACAATTTAGGTCTACATTCTCCGATATACCAACTTCTGATAGATTCCTAGGGGCTATTTCAACCATTATTTTTATTTTTACATGGAAGTACTTCAGTGCCTCAAGTTTTGTGACAATCATGTGTGACAGAGATGTGTGATCACTGCAAGTGACTATCTTTGCCAAGCAGCCACTGGAAAACCATGCCCAAATGTGACATGTGCATGTAGTGAAACAGATGCAGGTGAAAATTGCAATAAGACCGCCTCAGGACTAAAACTGTTTGTCTTATAATGCAGACGGCAAATTTTCCCTGAAGGGAAGGGTGCTGCTCCAAGCTCAAGATCATAACAAGTTGCCCAATACACCTTTGAGTCAGACTCAATGATATCAAGGGAAAATAGAATTCTCAAACAACTGTGCTCATTACTGAATGTTTGGAGATCCTAATTAGGGGGCCTAAAGCACAGCTTACCTTGGTTGGTCTCAAAGGATTCCCCTTTCCTCTTCCTGTTGCGCTGGTCATTCTGTTTTTTTTCTGGAGTCTTAAGGGGGAGAAAAACAAATCCCAAATCAATTTCTGCAGATATCTCAGCATCAAAGCACACTAAGAAATTCAAAACCCCCTGGAAGACTTCTCAGTTTGTAAACACAGAGGGTTATGTTTCCCCTCTTTGATACCGGGGAACAAAAAATCAGTGACCACTGCAACCCCACTAACAGCAAGTATTACACCAAAAATGAATTAACTCCATTAAGGAAGACTGCAAGGCACTTGAGAGTTAAGATCACTGCCTTGCACCTTCCCGAGGGCTAAATTGTTTGAGTTTTGTTGAGGCTATTTGCATGGCAGGGAATTAGAGAGTCCAAAAGGTGGCATATTTTCTCCTGCTGGAATGGAACCCTGACTATTTTCACATAGTTGACAGTAATCAGGTATCTTCTGGTTTGACCCCAGGACAGGCTGTCCAGTAAACACCAGGTTCACTTACTTCCAGCTCCTTGTCACTTAGTGAGCCCACACTGCACAAACTCTGATTGGAAGATTCACTGTTCAGGGGCCCCTGGCGAAACAGACAAAAAAGCAAAAGTATATTTACATATGCTGAAGATGGTTATAACTCCCCAGAAAAGCATCACACACACACACACACACACACACACACACACACTTGTTGCATCCCTTTTCAGTGCAATGAACTGTCTACAAATGAGAAATTAAAGTAATCGTGTCTTTCTTTGGTGCATTTACAAAATCTCAGTTCTAATGCTGGACAGCATAGTGCCAAAACCTATCACAGGAAATTCTGTTGGTGCTAACTAGCTCCTGGTTTCTTTGCACGTGTGCAGTTCCCTTCCCATATCCACTTCTGGTACTGGATGCAAAAAGTATTTCCAGGGTACCTACCACCTGAACCAAAGACTATAAGCCAGGGGTCAGCAAACTTTTTCAGCAGGGGGTCGGTCCACTGTCCTTCAGACCTTGTGGGGGGCCAGACTATATATTTTTTTGGGGGGGGGGATGAACGAATTCCTATGCCCCACAAATAACCCAGAGATGCATTTTAAATAAATAAAATTCAACTCATGTAAAAACAAGCTGAGTCCGCGGGCCGGATTTAGAAGGTGACTGGGCCTGATCCGGCCCCTGGGCCTTAGTTTGCCTCCCCATGCTATAAGCTTAGGATAAAACAAAACTTGCATTTACTTGATTAAACCTGTTTGTGTAAAAACTGATGTAAAAGCTTTTAAGGAGCACTGGTGACACAAGGACACTTGCATCCTGACATTATGTTGGGCACCACTGCCATCAGTTCCTAGTGGGGAAGGATGTTATTTATTTAAACAGATTTCTTGCCCACCCTTTACTACAAGATCGCAGGATGGGCTACAACCATGCAATAATTATACAATATTAAAGTCAAATCAAATCCTTTAAAAGAAAAAGATCGAACAGTACACCAAACAGGAAGGTGGCATGCCTATTATATCTATGCTGAGAATAGATATACAAAAATTGAAGGACCCTGCAGTGGTCCTGGGAAAACGAAAAACATTAATCTCTGGGTAGCCATCAGAGCATAAATACAGTGGTGCCTCGCAAGACGAAATTAATTCGTTCTGCGAGTTTTTTTGTCTTGCGAGTTTTTTCGTCTTGCGAAGCACGGTTTCCCAAAGTCTTCCAAATCACCAAAGTCTTCAAAAACCTCAAAAAAGGCTACCACACCGCGTGCTATGAGTTGCTCCTCGAAGTCACCCTGGGTATTAACGGTTTTAAGAAAAAGGAAACAAACTTGCAAGACGTTTTCGTTTTTTGTCTTGCGAAGCAAGCCCATAGGGAAATTCGTCTTGCGAAGCAACTCAAAAAACGAAAAACTCTTTCGTCTTGCGAGGTACCACTGTACCTATGTCTCCCATTACCAACAGGAGTCTCAAGCAACTGGAATATTCTCACCTAAGTGCCAATTCCTATCTTTATATACAAGGAAGAATTGGCTACAATTACACAACAAGCTGTACAGTAGAACTGCACCAGATGCCCAAGCACTAAATAAAAATGTCCTTCTGGTTGCAGAGAAACACACATGAATACTTTGGCCTTAAACTCCACTCAGGTGGTATACTTGTGTCTTGACTATGTTACTTCAGATCTAAGATGAGGGCCTCATATAACTAACCCAAAAAATTCTTGCAGATTAATACATCAGGGAAAAGGCTCGGCTCGGCAAATAGGGCTAGTTCCCCCTAAGTGCCTTTTCAGTTCACACACAAAAGCTTATCTCACCAACCATATCCTATTCATTCAAAAACTCTTCAAAAGATGGTGGACTTATCTGTTTCTTAACAATAATTTGTGTATTTTTAGTAACGTGAAGTTTTCCCATAATACCTTTGTAATACCGTGGGAATGTTTTACGTTTGGGAGTCTCAGATGGATCTGGCTGGCAAATTTAATTGTTAAAGTAAGGTTAATGTTGACATGCAAGTCAACGCACAGACTAATAACAGAAGAGTTACAAAGACTTGAGAGACTATACACATGAACCAACAGCAATGAGATCTTTGAAAGAAAGTGGGGGATTTAGTTCATCATATTTCCCTTGAAGAAGTTTAGAATAACTACATAAAGGAACATGAAGCTCCAGAACATACACAGCGGCTAGGTTGATTTGTGTTAAGTACAACATTTGCTAGTGATGCCCACCTGGTGCCATCATTAACACGCTTCCAGCTCCAGGTAAAATCTCTCTACTCCCAGCTACTTGACAAATGAGGATGATATTGCTGACTATTGATGGTACGTTTTTTGCTGATGCTCTATTGGATTTGTTTGTATTGTATGGTTTTTACTGCAATGGATTGCTCTTTTTCTCATCGTATGCTTTGCATTTTGCTTTCTCATTTTGTAAATTGCTTGGAGACTTTTTACTGCCAAGCAACTAATAAGTTGAAATAATAACAACAAAATGTATACACCATTATTATTAATAAAATACCAAAATAGTACCATTTTGGCCATCTCGGGAATTTGAATCTTTTTCTTTCTTTCTTTGAAGTGGAGCAACCTGGACCTCAAAATTAGACCTAAAATTAAGATAAGAAACTGTCCCTCAAAGAGGTAAGGAGGCGTTGCCAATTCCACCTTCATTGCAGTCATGTGAACCAAAACTGCATGACATTCCTGATTGTCCCCCAATTCCCAGCTGTTTTGTTTTTTTAGGGGGGGCACAAGACTGCCTTGTTTTATTAATTCCCCAAATGTTTTCACTAAGAAAGCCCAAGACGCAAGCTTAAAAAAAAAACCCTTCTTGAAATACTGCAGCCAAATGATAAGCTCATGACAAGATTTAATGGAGCAAAAATGAATACACTAAACTTGGCTGCACATAAAATCAAACTTAATGAAACCCAAAGCGAGTGATGACAGTTCCAAATCAAATATGGTCTACAAAAACTTTGTTTCAACAATCCTCCAGTCCAGGCATAGGCAAACTCGGCCCTCCAGATGTTTTGAGACTACAACTCCCATCATCCCTAGCTAACAGGACCAGAGGTCAGGGATGATGGGAACTGTAGTCTCAAAACATCTGGAGAGCCGAGTTTGCCTATGCCTGCTCCAGTCTATTATTGGCAGGCTAGCAACATGTCTGTGATGGGAACTATGTAACACAGACTTATTTGCTACCTGCCTAGGGTGAGCAGCAGCTGTCATGGATAAGCACACAGATAGCAAGAGGTTGTATTCAATTAAATCCTACTCAGATTAGCCCCACGGATATCAATGAATCTAAATTAGTTATGTCAATTAACTTCAATGGGTCTACTCTGAGTAGGAGTACTACCCAAGGATTATCACATGCAAGCTCTCCTCTAGCCTCAGAGGACTACCACACTCACCTTTCACTAACATTTGCATTTATATAATCTGTATCTACTGTAAGAATTTAGAACTATGAAGAACTGGTGCTAGTTTACCTTTTATTTTGTTGTTGCCTTTGCCTTTTATTTTGTATTGCATTATACTATAAGACCAAGAGCAGGGGTTGTAGTTTTTGAATCTTTCCGAAGCACCTATAAAACCTAAGGCACTTTAAAAACCAATTATAGTTGTTATTGTCGCTGAGGGCTGTTTTTCTAAGAATCCCAAGAATGTCAGGATCCCATTTTTGCAACCAATTCAACATGCAACTCCATCCATAAAAATAAGATAGAACACAGAGCAATTCAGTCTTGAACATTTAGTTTGGATGATGTTATGATATGCTAGTGAAAACAGAAGAAACCTGAGAGAACTAGAGATGGCTGACGGAAGAGAATGCCATCAACATTGATGTGGGATTTAAAACAAAGAATGAAAGAAGTTACCAAAAGCAGATACTTGATATAAGAACAGAAAAGAAACTTTAGTTATAGGAATGTCTAGCATTGTGTGAGAAGGTAACTTCTCAAGCTTCCCAGATAAGTTCATTACTCAACTGATAAAAAGCATTCAACTTCTACTAATGCTCACTGCTCATATATTATGAACTTTTCACATCAACTCCAAAACAAGCTGCAGAGGTCATGAAATGCCGGATTATTTTCGAAGTATGTTTGATTTCTGAACATTTAGAGGTCATACATACATTATGCTTCAGCAGTGTTCTCCATCCCCATGACGGCAAGCAAAAGATGCCAAAAATTGACAATCTAGATTATTAGAAGTCCACCAAGCATCAAATGAAAGATTACTGAGTGTGCACATGCTTTTGGTCAGTGAGCTGTGCTGATACCAACCTTTGCAACGCCAGCTCCAGTGAACCTGGCCTCCAACAGTTCCTGCCGTCGTGGGTCCAGGCTATGCAATTCTTCCATCATATCTGTCAACAATGATAGACAACACAGTGTATAAGTATCCAATGCAGAAATAATTAAAGTTTGCCATTATTGGGTTGAAGTCAAAACATTAATATAAGGAAACATTAATAGCATTAACCAATCAAACATAAAGGTGTATATAGTGATACAACACTGTTACTTTAAATGGTGTCATTATAACCAGAACTGTGGGTAACATTCTTATTTCTCCAATAAAATTATTCCCCAGCATTGTTGGGTGGTTTCTTTGTATATGGACTAACTACTCTTCCCTTCACAAAGTGAATGTGATTTAATTATCCTTCTCCACGTGGATCAAGAGCAGTTTGGATACCCAAAATTCCTTTCTCTCTCACCCTAGTAAATGTCTGTGGAACAAGCATTTTTAACATAATATCATTAGTAGCAACCACATAAGATCTCCAGGAATCAAGAAGCTAAGATTGTAAGGGAAAATGCATAACAATTCACTACTCCTAAAAAAGAGAAAAGGCAAATGCTAACATGCTGAGATGCACTATATATAGTTTTAATTGCTTCAGTCCCATATCACACATACAGGACTGGGTATGTTCATTTCTGAAGGACCTGTTTGACCCTAATATACTCCTCATTCTGAGAAACATGTTGTTGCTATCCCATGCTTTCCTATGAAGAGCAAGAGAACACTGAAGATACTGCATTTGCAAATCACACTCTGCCAAAGTAGCAACATGTGTTTCCACTGGCAGCTCAAAAGTACTGGACAATCTCCCTTCATTAACCACATTTCACATCAAAACACTAATGGAGAACAGGACATGGGGCTGGCCTTTCTATTCCATATACAGTTGTACCTTGGTTCTCAAACAGAATGCGTTCCAGGAGTCCGTTCGACTCCCAGAACCATTCAAAAACCAAGAAGCAGCTTCCGATTGGCTGCAGGAGGTTTTCAATTGTTCGGAAGCCAAAATCTACGAGTTCCAAGGCGTTTGGCAACCAACGTACGACTGTAAATATTTGTTGTTTAGTCGTTTAGTCGTGTCCGACTCTTCGTGACCCCATGGACCAGAGCACGCCAGGCACTCCTGTCTTCTACTGCCTCCCGCAGTTTGGTCAAACTCATGCTGGTAGCTTCGAGAACACTGTCCAACCATCTTGTCCTCGGTCATCCCCTTCTCCTTGTGCCCTCCATCTTTCCCAACATCAGGGTCTTTATACTGTAAATATACTGGAAGCCTATTTTCCTATGAATATTGTATCTTGGAGATTCTGGTCCTCCATTAGTGTGGCACAATTCTTCAGTTTGCTGATGGGTTCTCCGCTGTGTTCATGTGAAGCCACTCTTAGTAACTTTCCTCTGAAGTTGGTTAACAATATCTGGTCCCTTATAAACAATGAAACATACACTAACAATAAAGTCAAACAAGTGAAACAAACGTATTGTGTTTCAAAAAGTTCACTGTCAACCTAACTAGTAAATATAGCTAATAAAATATTTCATTCCTGTTTACAAAAGTCAGAGATAATACATATGCGTTTGCAGAGAAAACAGTCATTTCCTCAGTGTAGAGACAGATCCTTGACCATGCATTCTTCTACCCTGCAATTTCTAGACCAACCCCTCAAAAGGTACGCTAAAAATATCACAGAAATGAAAACATTTATGGATAACAAAAGGGAAAGGTCTGTTTTCTTTTCAATTCCCTTTAGCATCTTCCCAGACAGATCTACCATGAGCTTGACCGCTGAAGGGTACGCAACCAAACACTAAAACAGAAACAGAGGCCACAACATGGGTCAGATAATAGAACTGTAGAATTGGAAGGGACCACGAGGGTCATCTAGTCCAACACCCCTGCAATTCAGGAATCTTTTACCCAACAAGGGGCTCAAACCCACGACCCTGAGATTAAAGGTTTCATGCTCTACCGACAGAGCTAGCATATGTGTATAGCAAGAGTTCTTGGGAGTTCTTGAAACATTTCAGACTGGCTCAGAGGCAATACTAAACTATAATTAAAAGAATCTATGTTTAATCTTAAATATGGTAAGAGGGGGAAAAACCAACTTTATGCCATAGTTTATAAAGATGGCTTGGTTCCACAAAGCATAAAGTTAACCATAGTTTAGGGTTCATATGCAATGCCAAAGCAGAAACTTCCAATCTCCTTTTTGCGATTGTGTCAAAGGATAGGAGGAGAAAAGTGCAAGCCCTGAAAGAGGCCAGGCCAGTTCCCATAACTCTAGACTATGGTTCAGGTTGTGTTATAGCCCCTAAACGGAGCAATTATTTAATAATTGATTGACAGAACAGTAGAAAAGCAAAGTGTATCTGACCCTATGACTCACACTTTTCCAAAGGCATTGTTTCCAGAACTATTTATTCACTTTCATTTCCCCAACTAAAAGTTAAAACACTGAATCACTCTGGACCTTTAGCACATGCTTAGAAGGAACATTCCTGAAGACCACCAATACCCTTTAGAAAGAGGGGGGGGGGGACCAGCTACTGACTTCACATCAGTTGTTCTGTTTGCTCTCCATTTTGTCCCCATTATCACTTTTCTAGAAGACTGCAGCAGAAGAAAAAGCGTCAAGTGGAATTTTAAAAAATCACTAGCCAGGATACTTAAAGGACTGCTTTCTCCTGCTTATTAAGATATTTTGGGGAGACTCTTTTCTGAATCCTGCTAACATCACAGTTGTGTTTGGCTGGGATACAGCTGCACCCAGATTTTGAAACTCCCTTCCCAGGGAACCTCATTTCCCCATCTCTCTTTAGCATTTTACAGTGGTACCTCAGGTTAAGTACTTAATTCGTTCTGGAGATCCGTTCTTAACCTGAAACTGTTCTTAACCTGAAGCACCACTTTAGCTAATTGGGCCTCCTGCTGCCACCGCACCGCCGGAGCACAATTTCTGTTCTCATCCTGAAGCAAAGTTCTGAACCCGAGGTACTATTTCTGGGTTAGCGGAGTCTGTAACCTGAAGTGTATGTAACCCGAGGTACCACTGTATTTGCTATCTGTTTATCTGCTACCTCCTTTTAGCTGTTCAATAGTCTTGTTATCATGCTATCAACCACTGAAATACTTTAAAATGGAAAGGCTAGTTATATATTTATAGCGAGGGTGTGGAACCTATGAACTTCCAGATATGGTTGCACTACAACTTCCATCATCTCTAACTACTGGTATGCTGGCTAGGGCTGATGGACAACTCCACTGAAGTCCAACAACATATGGATGGCCACAGGTCCCCCATCTTTGACTTATAACAGATAAATAAGACGGCAGTGCTGTAGTGTTGCTGGTGCTAGTCGGAAGAACATGTCAACAATATGACCATACGGCTACAACCTTAGCCACACTTTACTTTGAAATATACATATCAGTGCAAGTGACGGGACGTCCAAATAGGCTTATTTTTTATCATAGTATCTATTAGAAGGAAGAAAATGGTTCTAATCGAGTGCGCTTACAAACATTCCAAAATCTCCCAACAAGGCTTCTAAAACAACTCAATAAGCTACAAAGGAACCAGCTGGGAAGATAATGAAGCATTCATAATTATTAAAAGCATTCAAGTTTAAAGCAGCCACACAAAGGTGGGTTTGTCACCTCAGGGACTTCTGAACCCCTAAGTGGGCGGGCATCTGAGAAAGGCATTTGTGCATGTTTTAAACAGACTTCTGATCACTTTCCCCTCAAGGCATGTTAAATTCCCTGAAGTGGGAATTGAGCATCTCTCAAGCATGTATGTGTGCGGAATGACGATAAAGCAAACAAACTGTTGTTTCATGGCATTATATGAAATGATAAACGAATACATAATGTCACTCAACTGAGTGTCCCCCTCGCCCTGACTTCTACTTCTTGCTATTCCAGAGAACACATTTATTTCACTTTGTAACCTCCAATCTCGCTCGCTTTATCCTTGACTTCTCAAGAGATGGCCCTACAGTTTGGGACCCGAGACCACCACCTTGTTGGAATTTACAATAGTTAAAACAGGAGCCAATGACTCTCCCCACCCAGGAAAGGGACACCCAGGCAAGCATCCATCCCCTTACTCCAGGCCTTACCCACTTGTTCTTATGGGATGGGGACCACCTCTTTTACTCCAATGGGGAGTGACAGAACAGCACCCCTTTCCCCTCCTGATTTAACCCCTGCTAACCTATCAACCCCCCATTTTTATTTTTAAAAAGCAATAACAACCCCTACCCACACTTCCAGCTGTGGCGACTCCCACCCGCGGGGGCCTGCCGTCCCCAGAGGCCGCTGACATCTCACTCTCCCCTTGACCGGAAAACAAAACAATCCCCTCACGACCAGGCCCAAGGAGGCTCGGCACCTGAGACCTCTAGGCCCGGCAGCCCACCCACCCACCGCGCCCCGTTCACTGACACGGGTGGGCGCGACCCTCTCCCAACCACGGAAAGTTACCAAGGCAACGGAGCCCCCCCACCCCACCCAGCACGCGAGAGGGAGGCTCTTCCGCCCCCCCTCCCCAACCGACCAGAACGTTCCCATAGCAACAGCCCGGGCGCACTCGCCCCCCCTTAACTCGCCCTTATTTTAAGCCCCCACCGGGCTTGCAACTTCTAATTAGGCAACGTAGGCCAGTCTCGAGGCCTAGACGAGAGAACGGCCACCACGCGCGTTACCTACCCCCCCCCCAAAAACCACGTCGCCCCAATAAAAACAGTCCCACAATAATATGAGAGTGGGGTCTCCCCCATTCCACACACCCCAAGGCCTACAGGGGCATGTATGGGTCCGTCCCCCCACAACGTTACCATAGTAACCCGGGCCCCTTTCCCGAGGTTGGGACACGGGGGGGGCGCACTCGCCCTTCTTCCGCGGCGTTGCTATAGCAACCGATAGGGCTGGGGGGAGGCGAGGCCTACACAGACTGTTGACCCCCCCCTCAAAAAAAATAAAATGTCACCAAGTGTAACGGCAACGGAGCTGGGGGTGAAGGAGAAGCCCCAGCTGCAAGGCCTACCTACCCCTCCCTCGGAAAGCGCCGCCGCCGCAGCTGCACCTCTTCCCCGACCCTCCTTAGGCCTACCAGGGGAAGGCCGGCCTGTTCGCCCGCTCTCGCGCTCGCCTGCCGGCCACGGCCTGGATGGAAGGGCGGCGGGGGAGAAGCGAGCCTCTCTCTTCCCGCAGCGCCCGTCCGCAACGTGGGGCCGAGGCAAGGGATGCCCGGGACGCGCGGTCTCTCTCACCTGTGGCGGCGGCGGCGGCTCGGCTGGGCTTCGCTCCTGGGCCAGCCGGTTGGTTGGTTGCAGGGCCCTTTTTTGCCCCAAGGAGAAGACGGGGAGATAGAGAAGGAGGGATCACCGGAGGAAGGTGGCGGTGGGAGAGCAGCTGCTCCTCCCGCGCCCTCTCGGCGGAGACCGAGAAGGGAGAGAAGCGAGCAGGCAGGCCGTAAAATCCCCGGCCTCGCGTAGGCTCCCCGCCCGGCAAAGGTAGCCTCGTTCCCGAGAGGGTTGGGGCTCTCCTCCTCCTCTTTTTCCCCCGAGGAAGGGATTAGGGATGGGTGGGTGGGAGAGGGGGGGCGTTTACCCCCAAAACCGCTATTCAGGTGGGGGGGTTGGTTGCAAGTTGCGATCAATGGGGGCGGGGCAGCCCCCCCACATTTCACTTTTTCTCCCCCCCCAGCTCTCGCCTATACACCCCCTTCTCCCCCGCCCCCCTTTACTTAGGCTTTTTTTTTTTTTTAAGCCCAGCCCCCGGATCGATTGGTGCAAGGAGAAGAGGTGTTGGGGGGGGACCACTTGTGAAAGCACGTGTTGTCTCGCGAGATTTGCACGGGTGGGAGGTTGGTGTGCGGGTGCGCGGTGCGCGAGGTGGGGCGGGGGGGGGGAAGGTTGAGTCGGTGGTGGTGAGAAAAAGGTTGGGGGAAGGGGAGAGGTCAGTGCAAGGAGGTGCTAAAAACCTCGGGGTGGGGCGATGGGAGGGCCCGGGCTGCATTGCATTGCATTGCATGTGGCTTTTAAAATTTTATTTAACCCTGCCTTATTTGCGGGCACCAGGTTTTGCCAAAGGCGGATGGACACCCCGCCCCCCCCACCACCGTGGGGATTGTTGCAGAATCCAGGACGGTGTCAGGCCTGACAGGTGGAAAAAAATTGCTGAGTCAGATCTTTCATCAAGGGCATGGCATGGAGACTTCTTTCCTTCTTGGGGGGTCGCAGCAAAACGAAGAATGGACCCATATACTGGGCGAGGGGGTGTTGGGGTACATACAGAGGAAGGTGTTAACTCAAGAGGGGGGCGTGGTCGCCTTTGTATAATAGGGACTTAAGGTAGGTGGGTATTTTTTCTGCATTGTGGTCAGGTGCAGGCGGTGGGCTTGTCTCCAAAGAGATGGGGGTCTGTGTCTGGGGGTGTTATTTGCAGAAGGGCGGGGGGGGCCTCTTGTGCTTCGGAAGCTTCAAGGCGATATCTATACAGTTCAACCGGTGTGTTTTTTCCATCAGCGGCATTGCGGGAGGAAGTGAAGGATGCGGAAGCGTTTGGGCTGATTTGTGAGCATGTGGGGGATTTCAAGATCCAGAGGAGAGAATGTGACTGTACAAAAGGCATGAGGTGGTTTAGTACCAGTAGTTCACAACAATCCTTTGCATGGTGTATCTCAAAAGCCGATCAGAGCGAGTTCAATGGAGGTTGTTCCCAGGTAAGTGGGTACAGGATTAGCTGGGAGATGGATGGATGTTTTGCCTTGGAAAGGTTTAGGCATCATGGGGGAAAACCAGGTCGAATCACAAACAGGCATGTGGAGGTGCTGGGGTATATTTCAAAGGACAAGGGTTTGTGTGTGTGGCTTCTTCATTTACCCGATCCAGGAGAAAGCCCAAATTTGTGGGATTCAGATATAATTGTGAAACAGTGGCTTGTTTAAAGCTATTGCTAAGGCGGGCGGGGGGGGAGTGCCCAGTCCTCCCCATTTAGCCTGAGGCCATTTTGGCCAAGTCACACCCACGTTGGGTATTTGCTGGCGCCAGTTCAAGATTGTGTCAAATGGTGCTTTCAGTGGGGCTTCTGAAGACTCTGCAAGGGGAGGAAAAGGTCACCTGATGTCATTGCCCACCTGTCAAACTTTGCCCATCAGGGGTTAGGGAAGATGACAATCTGGTCCCTCAGGGTAGAAAGGTTCCCACACCTGAGCTAATGGAGGAATTCAGACAGTGCTAAGTATGTGTCATGAACTGGTTTGGATGCAGAGCAGTAGTGGGAGACACCAGCTGGGGAACCCCCAAGGGAACCCTCAGGGGAAGAAGGCTGAGGGCCAGGGGATTGGTGGTGGAATGATGATGATGATGAGTGGGGAGAGGGAGAAGAGGGAACAGACTGGGAGGAGGAGTCAGAAGCTGAACAGGGTTTAGTGAGCAGGAAGAGGCTGTGGCAGAGAACAGTCTAGAACCAGGGGCAGAAGAGGGAGAGGCAGAGATGAGGCAGGCTGCTGAAGAAGCCAGGGGTCTCCCCCTCCTACTGCGACCAGCTCCCCTCTCCCCAGTCTACCAGAACATGCAGAGAGATGAAGAAGATGGAGCAATGAGAGACAAGAAGGAGGAATCCGAAATTGCTTGGGAAGGACCTGGGAAAGGAGACTTAGGGAGCTATGGGGACCTCACAACTGACTCATCGGGGCAAGATCTATTGGGAAGAGTTGCTGTGCTCGCTAGGCCTGGTCTCTGAGCTTGTTTTTTTCCCTTTGAATAAAGAGAGTTAACTTCATTGACACCGTGTGAGTTATTGCTGACCTGCCCATGGCACGCCCCCTTAGAGTATGTGCAAGAACAGTCATCTCCTCCAATGCAGACAGAAAGAGGGCACAAACGTTTCTCTTACGTTTTGAGCTAACCATTGTTACCCATTTGGAATCGCAATAAGCCACAGTATATTTGTGGAAGGAATGACTAGGTGAGCCTATGGCTTATCTCTCTCTTCTGGTATGGCCGTTAACAGCCTTATTTGTTTTTGATTAACCAGTTTCAAAACTTGAATAAATTTTAAGGACTATGTTAATTTTTAGTTTGCTTGAAAAAAGTCAACTTCAAAGAATGGACTATGAAAATGGCTTCTTTAAACCATAATTAAAACTAGCCATAGTTTAGGGTTCAGACATAAGACTAAAATGCTGTCAACAAACAACAGAAACGTAATTTTCTAAACTCACAAACATGCTGAAATAAGAGAGGGTAAGGATAGTTAACAAGTCACCCATAAGAGTAAACCATGGTTTACTGTGACATCTGACCCATGGTCACTTGTTGAGAGGCAAGTGGGAAGGGCACAAGCCTGAATCTAGTGTGCAGAACAGCAAACCATGTTTAAAGACAAACTCTTTAGTGGAACCTGCTCACAAAATTGTTCATTTTGGGGTCAAGAAGCTAGCATTTGAAGCTGATGTTGCAAACCATAGTTTAGGCAAGCCGTGGTTTACTGTGATGTCTGAATTCACAGAACCAAAGTTAGAGAAGTTTCCATCAACTACTGGCTGTACTATGGAGACATGAGTGAATTTATGAAGTGTCTGAAGGAAATGGAAAGCAGATAAGCAGTTCAAAACTTACATTTACCTGTTGTACAGCTGCAGGTGCAATCCAAAATTAGGGCTCTTAACTGGCCAGAATGATTTTTCATTAAGGTCCCCCCCCCCTTCTTTTTCACAAGCAGGTGATCAGAGAATCTGCTTGCATTTAAAAAACTAACTTCATTCCCCGTTATATGTTAGTGAATAAGCCAGGGTTATAAATCACATTTCCATCTTGCATGTTTGCACTAAGTAGTAGGCTAATATAGTTACTCCAAGTTCAGCCAGAATTGGAAGCTGTAGACTTCTTACCTTGCCACCATGACACAGAAGAGGATGGGGTCAATGTGCACACCTGAGGCTCATTCATGAAACTTTGTGTCCCTCAGCCAATGGTCTCCAACTCACATCATCCCTGATCACTGGCTACTGCTGATGGGAGTTGGCAGTCCAGTATCTGTATGGCACAACATTGGCTGTTCCTGATGTAATGCTAAAGCATAGCTTCATATGCAAAATCTTTTAAAAGGTCTTTTAATTTTTTAAGCTTATTTTCACAAGTCTGGTTCAGTTCTGGAGATTACACAGGCAGGCTTTAACATGTTCTGTTTGCATTAAATTCAGAATTGTTTTAAATATACTATAACTTTATAAAATTTGGTGGCTGGAGAGGGTTGTTCCATTTTTTTCTAGTGTGCTTGTTGACCATCAGCGAGGGTGATGCAGTAACAATCACTTATGCCAGTGAATATTTGTTAAAACAACTTGAAATTATTCTAGAAACCTGCAAGATTCCCAGGACACTTTCTTAGCCTCTTCCCTTCCCCACCCCACCCACCGCCAATGTAGAAAAGTTACATCGTAGGTGTAAGAAGGCATGGTTATAAACTCCTTGAAGCAGTCAGAAACTGATGCAATGCTTGATCTTGTTTAGATTTAGTTAAACAGCCAGGCCTGCATATACATGGGAGACCTTGGTCTGACGCACGTTCCTGCATCTGAAGAATGTTTGTTCAGGTCTGAAAAGAAGAGCTGACCATTTGGCAAGGGACTTCCCTCTTTCCTGGTCAAGTAAGTGGCCAGAAGCAGTCTCTCCAGGTAGGATTGCAGAAGGAGGTGCCATCATACTGTTTTTGCAGGAATAAACCCACCTAATTCAGTAGGAGGCCAAGGAACTCAGACCCCAGGGATGATCCTGTAAGCCACAAAGTTGCATTACAGTTCATTGCATCTCCCCACCCACCAAGCGAATTTAAAATTTTTGCTCCGTATTGGGGCTTGTGCCAGTAAACTTTGTGCTTCTAATACAAGCACCATGCAGTCCTGTTTGCTGTACAAAGTCTGCAGTGAGTTCCCCAGTATAATGGGCAACCGCCAGGGGAGAGGTCCGAGTCTCGCTACGTGCAGCCGCTAGGATGAAAGTTGCTTCTTTCTCCTAGAGATTCCTTGTCGCCCTTTGGCTTGCGATATTTACACTGGATCCAGACTCTGTACATGGTGATTTGTTTCCCTCTGTTCACTTGGAGGCGGCGGTCCACAATGTTTTGGGCTTTCTCCAAGCCTGCTGTAGAGAACAGCAAATCCAGCTCATCTAAGGGACATCGGAAAGAAATGTGATTTTAAAGTATAACGCTGCAAGGCGGTTTGTGATGAAGATGGGAAAAAACAAGATAATGGCAACAAATAGCAATAAAACCAGTGATAATCTGAGACCAAAAGAGTAGAAAGGTTTTTCTGCCTATCGAACTGAGCAGTGGCAAAGATAGGTAAATACCTCTTGGAAGAAGGAAATTGTCAAGCAAGGAAAGGATTGGATGATCATTTTGGTGGGACTACGGTATTAATTTGTATTTTATATAAACATGAACAAGGATACAATACATCCTCTTGTGCCTCATGGCATGTCGTAGTGAGATGTATCGAGATATTAATTGTTCTGCTAAGTCCATTATATAACACCGTATAACACCGGTCCTGAAAGACCTACACTGGCTTCCAATACGTTTCCAAGTACAATTCAAAGTGCCGGTGCTGACCTTTAAAGCCCTAAATAGCCTTGGCCCAGTATACCTGAAGGAACGTCACCACCCCCATCACTCAGACCGGACACGGAGGTCCAGTGCCGAGGGCCTTCTGGCAGTTCCCTCCCTGCGAGAAGTGAGGTTACAGGGAACCAGGCAGAGGGCCTTCTTGGTGGTGGCACCCTCCCTGTGGAACACCCTCCCATCAGATGTCAAGGAAATAAACAACTACCTCACTTTTAGGAGACATCTGAAGGCAGCCTTGTTTAGGGAAGTTTTTAATGCTTGATGTTTTATCATGTTTTTAATATTCTGTTGGGAGCCACCCAGAGTGGCTGGGGAAACCCAGCCAGATGGGCAGGGTATAAATACAGTGGTACCTCGGGTTAAGTACTTAATTCGTTCCAGAGGTTCTTAACCTGAAACTGTTCTTAACCTGAAGCACCACTTTGGCTAATGGGGCCTCCTGCTGCTGCCGCGCCGCCAGAGCATGATTTCTGTTCTCATCCTGAAACAAAGTTCTTAACCTGAGGTACTATTTCTGAGTTAGCGGAGTCTGCAACCTGAAGCTTCTGTAACCTGAAGCGTCTGTAACTCAAGGTACCACTGTAATAAATTATTATTATTATTATTATCATCATCATTATTTGTCATAATAGCTGTAAAAGGATTTTTATAAAAAGGTTGTCAGGCAAGCTTATATGGCAAAAGGCGATGTGTGACATAATTCTGATTCCAGGCCACAAACCACACCATGAATTGAGCCCCAAAATAAAAAAATATATAATATGATTTCATTGACTGGTTCCAGTCTGAACACTGGCAGGTATAAATTAATTATCTGGAAGAGAAATACAGAATTAAAAGACCCTCTGGCGCAGCCACCTCCTGCAAGACAGGACCAACGACAACAAACCTCCACCCCCGTTCAGACAGAGGTTCCATGCAGAAATAACTTAAGAACCCTGTGTGTGTTGATACAATTGATGCAAGTGTTTGAAATACCCTCACTGCTTGGTGGCAACAAATCATGTTTCGCATGAACCATAGTTTTCCCAATTCAGATGCCACAGAAACCCAGGAACGGTGATATGAAATATGGGAACCTGCAGCATTTTCCAAACAACCAAACAGTATTCTTGGGCTGTGGCATCTGAATCAAGCCCATGTAAGTCTTTAACCTTTTTTTTAATCACATCATCAGGGTTTTTGCTTTTTAATAAATTGGTGTCCAGTTCTCAGGATCACTGCTCCACATATGTAGAAAGGCCACAATGGAAATGGCTCAGAGCATCATGTTATATGCATCCATCCTGGCATCATTTCTTCTCCCTGCCACCTGAACCAGCATCTTCTAAAACATCATTTCTTGTCTGCCTTGGGCCAGAGACCAAGCCTGAGCTGCTTCAGCCTTTAAATCAGTGACAGCCAATTGATAAAGAGTGCGGTAGGACCTGCAAGTTAGTTAAAGGTAAAGGTTACGGGACCCCTGACCATTAGGTCCAGTCATGGCCGACTCTGGGGTTGCGGCGCTCATCTCGCTTTATTGGCCGAGGGAGCCAGCATACAGCTTCCGGGTCATGTGGCCAGCAGGACTAAGCCACTTCTGGCGAACCAGAGCAGCGCACAGAAATGCTGTTTACCTTCCCGCTGGAGCGGTGCCTATTTATCTGCTTGCACTTTGACGTGCTTTCAAACTGCTAGGTTGGCAGGAGCAGGGACCGAGCAACGGGAGCTCACCCCGTCACGGGGATTCGAACCGCCGACCTTCTGATCGGCAAGTCCTAGGCTCTGTGGTTTAACCCACAGCGCCACCCACATCCCGCAAGTTAGTTACCTTGTGTGAAAAAATAAACTCTGGTGCCATCTCCTCTCACGTAGAAGTTATCAGCCAGACACTGACCTAAAAGAAAGGAATGAGAATTTTGACTGCAACTCAGTTCACTGTTGCTTCCACCTCCTCCAAAATACAGTGATGACAGCGATAAACTATCAATGGCCAAGAGGCTGATAAAGATATCTACCCTTTTTGGTTAATACTCAGGCACCTGCACGGAGAGATGTGGTTCTGCAATTCAGCAGTTGCAAAATGCTCAGAAAGAAAAGGAAAAAGGCCTGGCAAGGTGTACATCAATTATGGTTTGTTATGCCTACCGGCGTGGTTGCTCGAGAGCGAACAGGCAAGATCCCCACTGGTCTTTTCAAAGGCTTTATTATTGGTGCAAAAACATTTACAGTGCAGAACGCCTCAATTCCATGTCTTGCTCAGCCACTAGCAGAATCTGAGAGTGGGCGGTCCTTAAACTTTCCCCAGCAGAGTAGTCTCTTGACCCCCATCCGACGCCTCCCCTCTCTGCATGTAAACCTACTGTGCAGAGAAGGCGTGGGTAAAGGGGGACCTGCCCCCCCCCCCGCTTTGCTCATGCACGGTGCTTTGGCTCTCTCTTGTTGCATCCTTCAAGCCCTGCATCTCTTCCCCACTAGAGGCGGGGCTTCCCTCCTCCGCTGAGGAAGTGCTCCTTCCTACGATCTTTGGAGGCTCCCTGTAACCCAGCTGCCCTTCCACCTCTCGCCTCTGAGCTGATGGCAGTTCCCTGACAGGTTGATGCCCTGGCTGAAAGGGAGCAAGCCAACCCGTACTTTGCTCCCCAACATGCTCACAAGCACTCAGCCCCTTACCAACTGAACACTGAAAATCTGGGGTTTTGCATTCTCCCATTTTGCAGCTGTATATTTGTGTCAATTCCCCCCTCCTTTAAATGTACAAAAGAAGTTTGTGGACTGCATGTTAAAAACCCCACCACGGAGCAGCCTTCCCCAGCCCTTTGCTTTTCCTGTTCCTCGTGCATATCAGAAGCTCATCCTCAATATGCCGCACACACATCTCTAAGGTTGCAAGGTTTTTAGCTGGGGCAGTTAGAATAAGATCCGCTATTTGACTACTGATTCAAAACCTAAAATGTATTTTATATAATTGACTTTTTATTTTTTGTATATCGTATTGTTGTTTCTTCGCTATGGCCGATGCAAATAAAAATTCATTCATTCATCTCACAGAGGGTACAGCAAGAGCAAACAGGGACATCGCCTGGCTTAAAATTACTTCCTCGTTCTGCTGCGTGGGGATGAAACAAGGTGGGCTTAGAGGCCCAAAAGTTAGCCTGCGTGAAAACAACAAGATCCATCCCCGGTACCTAAAAGCAGAAGTTACAGCTGTCACTCTCTCACAAGCACACGTTCCATTTCCTTAAGCGGCAGGACCGTGTTGGTGCCTTAACTTCCTGGTGAAGGCTAGAGGTTTTGTTTCTCAAGTAATAATAATTATTATTTTTTATTTATACCCCGCCCATCTGGCTGGGTTTCCCCAGCCACTCTGGGCAGCTTCCAACGGAATATTAAAATACAATAGTCTATTAAACCTTAAAAGCTTCCCTAAACAGGGCTGCCTTCAGATGCCTTCTAAAAGTCTGGTAGTTGTTTTTCTCTTTGACATCTGGTGGGAGGGCGTTCCACAGGGCGGGTGCCACTACCGAGAAGGCCCGCTTCCTGGTTCCCTGTAACTTCACTTCTTGCAGTGAGGGAACCGCCAGAAGGCCCTTGGCGCTGGACCTCAGTGTCCGGGCTGGATGATGGGGGGTGGAGAAGCTCCTTCAGGTATACTGAGCTGAGGCCATTTAGGGCTTTAAAGGTCAGCACCAACACTTTGAATTGTGCTCGGAAACATACTGTGAACCAGTGTAGGTCTTTCAAGATTGGTGTTATGTGGTCTCAGCGGCTGCTCCCAGTCACCATTCTAGCTGCCGCATTCTGGATTAGTTGTAGTTTCCGAGTCACCTTCAAAGGTAGCCCCACATAGAGCACATTGCAGTAGTCCAAGCGGGAGATAACTAGAGCATGCACCACTCTGGCAAGACAGTCTGCAGACAGGTAGGGTCTCAGCCTGTGTACCAGATGGAGCTGATAGACAGCTGCCCTGGACACAGAATTGACCTGCGCCTCCATGGACAGCTGTGAGTCCAAAATGACCCCCAGGCTGCACACCTGGTCCTTCAGGGGCACAGTTACCCCATTCAGGACCAGGGAGTCCTCCACACCCGCGTGCGTCCTGTCCCCCCAGAACAGTACTTCTGTCTTGTAACCGCTGAGATGCAGAGGGAATGACTGCTTCCTTTACTAAATGGCAATACTGCCTGTTCCCTCCCCTTACCTTTTTTAAAGCGGAGTTGGGCTAGATCGTAACGGCCATAATCTCGTAATAAAATAATTCCGCCAGGTTTCAGTAGTTTGCTAAGTCTGTTGATTACACATTGCATTCTGTGGGAGAAAAACAAGAGGGAAAAGACTCAGCAGCCACTGAAACATGCTAGTACAGTGGTACCTCTAGTTACAAACTTAATTCGTTCCGGAGGTCTGTTCTTAACCTGAAACTGTTCTTAACTAGAGGCGTGTGTTCGCTAATGGGGCCTCTTGCTGCCGCTGCGCCGCCGGCACACGATTTCCATTCTCATCCTGGGGCAAAGTTCTCAACTTGAGGTAACTCTTCCAGGTTAGCCGAGTTTGTAACCTGAAGTGTTTGTAACCTCAGGCGTTTGTAACTTGAGGTACCACTGTAATCTATCAGCTTGGAATAACAATAGCAAAATAAAGCTTCCAATGAACTACAGTGGTACCTCAGGTTATATACGCTTCAGGTTACAGACTCCGCTAACCCAGAAATAGTACCTCGGGTTAAGAACTTTCCTTCAGGATGAGAACAGAAATCGTGTAGTGGCGGCGCAGCGGCAGCAGGAGGTCCCATTAGCTAAAGTGGTGCTTCAGGCCACACGCTCTGCCCCTTCCCCCATCTCCCGCAAAAGCCAGCAAGAGCCGGGGGCCACCAGGTGGCGCATTGGAAGATGGCCGACAATAACATCTCTCCGACCCACACGAGGTAATTAAGAGGCTGCTCTGGGAAGTATGCAGTCTTCCCGAACCCCCAAGGAGATGGGGGGGACTGCCTTGCCAGTGGTGGCCATAATGCACCCCCGGATTCGAGAGAAGGGGGTGCCCCGGTCACTTGGCACCAGCCCTCGGTGAAGTCGGCTCTTCCCGGACGCTGTCTCCAATTTGCGCGTGCTGATTCGCTTTAGCTCGAAATACAATTGGAAATATATAATTGGAAGAAGCTACAGCACATACATCAAGTAAAGTTCGGGAGATAAGACTGCTGATTAATGGATCTCTGGGATCGGAGCGGCGGGCGAGGACAAATAAATCAAGCGATGAAGCGCCATTAAGAGATTGGTATGTCTGGAGTGAAGAAGGGGGGTGGAGGAAAAACCTTTTCTTTTCTTTGCCTTATGTGAGTATTAATAATCCTCCACCCCAAAGGAAGAAGAATCGCTGTATTTTATTAATCACAAGCAGGAATTTAAAAACTGTGTGGGATGAATTAATGATGAATGAAGAGAGGATTGGTAAATATTGGAGAATGGAAAAATTCTATGACGCAGTTTTAAAATGGCGTCTCGCAAGACAGGCTTGTCTAAGAAAGACGGGGGGAGGAGAACCAGGACTATTGGAATGTGAATGATGATTGGAATTTGATCTTAACCTGGCAGAGCCCTCTATGAGATATTTTACAAGCCTGGGAAAACTAAAGGGCAGACCGAAGATAAACTTTTGAAGGAGGAGGGGAATGGCGGCTGTCCCTATGAGATATGACTTGTGGAGTGTGTAAAACCCACACAGACGATGTTTGCTTCCAACCTGCCTGTGAAGATTATCAGAGATCGCAAAGAAAGGAATATCTGGCAACAACAAGAAGATGAAGAAAGTAATAAAGAGACTATCTGGATAGAACTGGATAGAACTGTTTAATTGAAGCAGTAATAGAAGTGATGTTTGGATCCTCGTTCGGAGCTTGATGTATGGGTACCCCTATCAAAATTGAAAAATTTGGCTGTATAATTTGGAATTAATGTGATTTGAAATAATGTGATATGATTGGCCTGTTAATAAAAATTATGTTTTAAAAAAAACAAAAGCCACGCTCCCTTTAAAGAGGCTGCGCCTGGCTAAGCCAGAAGCTAGAACAGCGAGAGGGAGCGCTGCGCAGCATTCTGGCTTCTGGGATGGCTGCGCAACCTGCATGCGCTCCATAAGACGCACACACATTTCCCCTTACTTTTTAGGAGAGAAAAAGTGTGTCTTATAGAGCGAAAAATATGGTAAGTTCTTAACCCGAGATAACACTGTAATTTTATTGCCTGTATTCAGTATAGTTAACCCATGTGCTTACAGGTGCTCTAGATTTGCTGCAGTTATAAAAAAATGCAACTTTGTAACCCCCCCCCCAAAAAATACCACACACATGCTGCTATTGATAGTGATATTAGGCAAGCACACACACAGCAGTAGCAGAATGACATACATACTTTTCCGGGAGAAGAGCAGAAAGGACGAAGATGAGAACCACAACGTCCACACTTTCGTCTGGCATCGGAAAGGGGGTCCCGGTCTCACACAGGTCATGGACAAAGGCGAAGCAGCGAGAGGTGTCATATTCCGGATGGGCCTGTATGTTCACACAAGTATTCTTTGAGCACACTTCACGTTCTACCCTCGCCACAACCCTGCGGAACAGATTAAGCCGAGAATCGGCAGCCTGGCCACGTCAACCCTACATGTCACAAAGTGCAGTTCAATTGCTTCAGGTTTCCTCAAACTCAGCCCTCCAGATGTTTTGAGACTACAATTCCCATCATCCCTGACCACTGGTCCTGCTAGCTCAGGCATAGGCAAACTCCAGCCCTCCAGATGTTTGGGACTACAATTCCCATCATCCCTGACGACTGGTGCTGTAAGCTAGGGATGATGGGAGTTGTAGTCCCAAACATCTGGAGGGCCGGAGTTTGCCTGTGCTAGCTAGGGATCATGGGAGTTGTAGGCCAAAAACATCTGGAGGGCCGAGTTTGAGGAAGCCTGAATTGGGTGGTATGTGGGAGAGGGCACTGTATTTAGGACACATCTGAAAGCTCACCTGTTCTCACTGGCTTTTGCCTGAAAGAATCTTTATTTACTGCGTTCTTTGCTGCTCTGTGTCCTGTTTTGAGCTGGGTTTATGTCTGTATTATCTATTTATTATCACCACCACTTTGATGACTTAAGGAAAGCTTTGATTCTTAAAGGTGGCATTCAAAGTATTTTAAATAAAATTTTTGCTGAATAGAGCTTTTTATCTTGATCTTCAAGGCCAAATGTGCAAACCAAACACACGCCCTCCCATCAGATATCAAGGAAACAACAACTATCTGATTTTTAGAAGCCATCTGAAGGCAGCCCTGTTTAGGGAAGTTTTTAATGTTTGATGTTTTATCACTTTATTATTATTAATATTCTGTTGGGAGCCACCCAGATTGGGTGGGGTATAAATAATAATAACAATAAGTAGTAGTAGTAGTAGTAGTAGTAGTTGTCACACTGCCCTAATTTCTAAATCTGAAACAAAGCATGCATCATATATTAAACTTGCGACACGGTACTTCGTTAAACTGGGAATATTAATTTATGCTCTTGTCATTTTGCTTATTTATGATAGAACTGCTTCTATGATTTTGTAATTTTGGTCTATTGCTATCCTCTGTGTTTATTGCTTTTCTTCCCCCCTCCGGGATTGAAAGAATGAATAACAGGCTAGAAATACTGCAGATAAAATAAAGTGTTGGTTCTGACCTTTAAAGCCCTAAACGGCCTCAGCCCAGCATACCTGAAGGAGCGTCTCCACCCCCATCGTTCTGCCCGGACACTGAGGTCCAGCTCTGAGGGCCTTCTGGTGGTTCCTTCGCTGTGAGAAGCCAAGTTACAGGGAACCAGGCAGAGGGCCTTCTCGGTGGTGGCACCTGCCCTGTGGAATGTCCTCCCACCAGATGTCAAAGAGAACAACAACTACCAGACTTTTAGAAGACATCTGAAGGCAGCCCTGTTTAGGGAAGCTTTTAATGTTTGACGGACTACTGTATTTTAATATTTTGTTGGGAGCCGCCCAGAGTGGCTGGGGAAACCCAGCTAGATCGCCGGGGTATAAATAAATTATTATTATTATTATTATTAAATAAAGATAGCTGCTCCCAGAGGTCAAAGAGGAAGGCCTCCACCCAGCTCCTGCCAATGTTCTCCAGCGAGGTCTCTACTCACCAGCTACTAGGCAAAGAGTCAAAGGGCAAAAGCCTTCCTGACATTAACAACAAAATTGTATTAAGTTACAACAGCAAAGGCCAAGTACTTTCAGAAACACAGTGGCATTTCCCACCTAGCCAAGACGATTAAACCACCTTCTCTTACTAAGCTTTGTTGTTTTTTTACCTGGACGAGCTCTACCGCTGTTTTGGAGAAGTCACAGCAATATACAAACAAGCCCGGATCGCTGAAATAAACCAGAGGAGACTGGTAAGGCAGATAGAACAGGGAACGAATGTGGACTAAGGGGTTCAAATTTACACTGTGCTATGATCTTAAAGAGAATTTTTACAAAGTGATGTATCGTTGGTATTTAACTCCTGAGAAATTAATAAACGAAGATGTTTCAAATGCGTGCTGGAAATGCCAAGAACATGAAGGGACATTTTATCATGCTTAGTGGACATATAAAAAGGCTTAAAAAAATTGGATGTGGATACATACGTTTTAAAGGTTAATATTCAATCGATGCCAGAACTCATTTCTTTTAGGGCTAACAGATACACTGTTAGAAAAGGTTAATGGAAGATTACAGTGCGAGATTACTATTTGCACAAAGATGGAAAGATACAGCCCTAGCCACTATAGAGGATTGGCTGATAAAACGATTGGACTTGGCTGAGATAGCAAAGTTAACAGGTTTAATTGGAGAAAAATCATTACCGACGTTTGTTAAGGTTCGGAAATTTCTTACGGACTTTTTGCATGAAAGAGAAAATGCTCTTATCTGGATCTGAAGACAAAAAAAGGCTGGTTTATGAAAGATAGAATGGCTGGATCATAAGGAACGAATATAATACGTAGCTGCAGGACAGAGAACCGGAAGTCCAAGCAGCGTAAACAAAGCCCCACAGCGCCTCTGTTCTCTTTGGGGCTTCCAAGCGGGTTCTGGTGTGTTGTTTTGGTTTTAAAAAAATATACATTCTTCTGGTTTATACATTTTGCTAATTTTACAATCATTTTGACATTTCAAAACTTGACTTCCTTCCCTCTTTTTTCTGCAGTTCCTTAAATGTATTTTTAATATTTTCTGCATATCCAAATTAACTTAACTGGCTCATTTATTCATCTTCTTTAAATATATGCTTTTATGAAACTGCAAGTTATTGCAACAATCCTGCCAATGTTCTTAACAGTTTATAATTTGTTTGTAAATATTCCATAAACTATTTCAATTTTTAATTTTTAAAAATTATCTTGATTTCTTATTCTTCTGGTAAGTTTCGCCATTTCTGCATATTCCATAAGTTTTTGTATCTATTCTTCCTTTGCTGAGATTTCTGCTTCTTTCCATTTTGGGGCAAGTAACATTCTTGCCTCTGTAGTCGCATACAGGAATAAGTTTCTATACAGTTATGTCGTTCTGTCCCTATAATTCCCAAAAGAAAAGCTTCTGGTTTTTTTTTTTTACAAAGGTTATTTTAAACATCCTTTTCATTTCATTATATATCATTTCCCAGTAAGCTTTAACTTTACTACAAGACCACCACATATGAAAAAAAGAACCTTCTTTCTCTTTACAAGGGTTTCCTTGTGAGCCACGAGAACTTTCTGGCTCTCTCTGGCCATTTCCGGGTTGGAATTGAATTATTTCACGGCACCATGCGTATGAACAATCATGCGCGAGTAGAACGTGCATGAGTGAGGGGGATGCCTGTACCTCAATGTCAAAACTCCTCTGCACAGTGGAAGCAAAGGAAGAAGACAAGGTCCCATGTGGATCATTTTTGCCATGGTGGGAACATTGGGAATCCCAATGAAAGCACAATGAAACAGAACCATTCTAGATACCAAGTCTAAAAAACCATCCTATTGGTTTGTAAACCTCAGTGTACAATCTGCTTGCCGTCTCTCTTACTTGTTGGTTTGGAGGATGGGGAAAACAGTGTTTCCTGCTCCACAGCCCACCTGCCAATAAAGCAAACATAGTGAATATTTTCAGCCATCGCAACAAAAGTTTATACCACGATACATTTGTCTTTAAGGTGGCACAAGATTTATTTATTTTTGCTACAACAGACCAGCGTAGCTACCGCTCTAGAAATGATTTAATATATTCAAGCCTCTCCTTTTATGCTCTCCTTTACTGCCAAGATCAAATACATTTCTCCCTGGGTCAGCAACTATCTTTTTACAGGAGGGCTGCCTTGAAATACTGTCTTTTTCCGTGTATAACACGCCCCCATGTATAAGACACCCCCTATTTGGGGGGAATCCAAATTAAGAAAATGGGGGGAAATGCCCAGAGTTGTTGAGCTTTTTTTGGGGTGGGGCTGACACCTCCAATCAAGCTCAGTGAAACTGAAAGGCATCATGGCTGTATGCACAGAAAGGAAAACTCTTCTAACAAAATGGCATTTATATGGCCAACCTGTCTACTGGCGCCCACTAACTACACAAACATAGAAGCAAAACCTTTCATGTTCACAGCTAATATCTTCCCAATAACTATACAGTGGTACCTCGGGTGACATACACTTCAGGTTACATAACGCTTCATGTTACAGACTCTGCTAACCCAGAAATAGTACCTCGGGTTAAGAACTTTGCTTCAGGATGAGAACAGAAATCGTGCTCCAGCGGCGCAGCAGCAGCAGGAGGCCCCATTAGCTAAAGTGGTGCTTCAGGATAAGAATAGTTTCAGGTTAAGAACGGACCTGCGGAACGGATTAAGTACTTAACCTGAGGTACCACTGTATAGTACAGGGTAAACATCACCATTAAACTCCATCTGTGAGCCTCCCCAAGGCCTATTGTTGGTAGGCAGAACGCTGAGCTAGGTGGAACTATTGGCGCAACAAAGCATGCTTTGGTTCCGATTCGCTGTGCAGTTACCTCTAGTATTCTGTAAGTAGCAGATGACCCTGGGAAGTCTCTTAGTTTTTGTTCCTCCAGTTTCTGCGCTGCCACTTCTGTTTGCGTTTGGTGGGTGGAGTTACAACTGCTTATCTCCGAGTCCTGACACTCCAAGATCCCAGTCTCCAGTGAACTAAGTCCATTGCACTCCCAAAGGCCTGAGCCTTTTGTGTTTTTCGCAGCAGCAGCCTCAGAGGCACACACGTCAACCGTACTGGCATTCTGGTTTGGAGCCAGCTCAGGAAATTCGGTGAACAGCCAGTGTCGGTCCTTGAAAAACCCATTTTCGTGGGTTTTGTAAAAGTCATTCCAATACTTGCTGGCACTGATCTCATAAGCATCTGCAAAGAAAATGGCAGGGTACAAGTGAGAAAAACTCCAGTCCAAGTCCTTGACCAGAGAAGGAGCTTTGCAGTTTAGGAGACAACACCTTAAACCTAGAAGAAACTCTCAATGGTTTTTTTAAGTTAAGCCAGCTAAATGATTTTTCCATCAAACTCACTCCAAGGAAGCAAATCCCAGAAGACGTATTTCACTATGTAATTGTTCCCAGTGATGTAGGTTTCCAAACATCCTATTTGCAAAAACCTCCTCCATAGATTGATTCATGTGTCACATATAAAAAAGCAGGCTGTGGGTCTGATTTTAACATCAAAAGGGGTGTGTGGATGAGGGGAGCCAAAACTCTCCCTTCCTACAGTCCATCACACCAAGCACTTTCCACCTAGGTTGGTTTACTTCTGCTATCAGAGCTAAGCTGAGAAATATGACAGATTGAGTCACCGACCACAGAGAGTTCAGCTCCCCTTAACTGTTTACAGCTTTGGATGCTAAGATCCGACCTGCACCCCACCCCCCCAGTTTATGCCTGAATGGGGAAGACAAGTATGATGGGTTGCCACCATCATATCTATTTTGACAAACATACTCAGACCTGTAAAAGCTATTGTTTGCGGTATTAGGTCAAGCCGGTTTCCAGTAGCTGTTGGGAGATAATTTCCAGAAACCTGCATACTAAAAATAGGGGGGGGGGGGATTCTATACACAGGACAGTCAAATCTGTACTAATCTTTATGTTTCAATTATTTTTATTATGTATTTTGTGCTTCGATTATTTTTATTATGTATTTTGTGCTCTGTACACCGTAACTTTGTGTTGTGAACTGCCCAGGGATCTACGGGTTTAAGGCGGTATACAAATTTAACAAATAAATTAAAAATAAACAAACATGGAACTGATGGGCACCTCAAAATGCAAAAGCAGCTGAAGGGTGGGCTAAAATCTCCCCCTGCTTGCTTTGCAAGCTTTTTTTGCATACAGATGTGGAAACCTCCATGTGAGTTCTGTGACGGTATATTACACATGAAGATTTAGCACGCTTCAAAGTTGGGTATAAAAGATAATGAGATTTTTTACTTTTATTGCAACATGAAATTGTAATCATAACTTTTTGTCATAATTTTTATCGTAATAACAGATTGTGTACATTTTCTTTCCTTTTCCCTCCCCTCTTAAGTTGTACCCCCTTTTCAGTATTGTTCCCTTTTTTTGTATGTAATAAGCATGGGGGGGGGAGAGAAAAAAGAAAGAAAAGATTTAGCACACTTCAAAGGATGTTCGAACTGGGCGTCACTTGGCATAATTAACTCTTCGTCAGTTTTCAAATAACCAGTGTGACCCATTGAATTGGGAGACTTAAGCACAAGACCTAGCAAACATGGATTCAGTGGGCAAGCACATCTCTTCTTCCTATGTGTAAGAAGGCAAAACGGCAACAAACCCACAGCGTTCCAAGAAGCACTAACCTTTGAGGGTGACTTGTGACAATGCCAAAGTTAATAGCAATTTGGAACTCTGCTTCACAAACACAAGTTCCAATGGCACAAAACTGGCAAATGAGTCACACAACGAACCTCCAACGTAAAGTTAAGACACTAATTTGCTTCGCTGACTTCAGTGGGGCTTAATCACACCTCATTTTTTCTGGACTGGCTAGAGATATCACCGCCAGAAGAGGTGATATCGCACACTAATAATACCTTGCTGGTCTTGTGGCACAAACTCTGTGCTGTTCTCTTGGACCTTCGCTTGTGCTGCGGCTTCCTGTTCCTCAGACCACTCCACGTTATCCCTGCGGCAGGAAAGAAGTATTTATCTGGTTCCGTTAACCCTAGCCACCGGAATCCATCTGTGCCGAGCTAGTCTCGCCTGCAAGTGTACCATTGGCTCCCATTACGTTTCAGAGCACAATTCAAAGTGTTGATGCTGACCTTTAAAGCCCTAAACGGCCTCGGCCCAGTATACCTGAAAGAGTATCTCCACCCCATCGTTCAGCCCGGACACTGAGGTCCAGCTCTGAGTGCCTTCTGGCGGTTCCCTCCCTGAGAGAGGTGAGGTTACAGGGAACCAGGCAGAGGGCCTTCTTGGTGGTGACGCGCGCCCTGTGGAACTCCCTCCCATCAGATGTCAAAGAAATATAGTGGACACTCTGGATAAGAATTAAATTCATTCTGGGGGTCTGTCCGCAACCCGAAATGTCCGTAGGCAGAGGTGCTGCTTCTGCACACGGCACACTTCTGGGTTTGCCATGTTTGTAACCCGAAAGTTACGTATCCAGAGTGATACGTAACTAGAGGGTCCACTGTAAACAATTAACTGATGTTTAGAAGACATCTGAAGGCAGCCTTGTTTAGGGAAGTTTTAAATGACTGATGTTTTAATGTATTTTTAGCCTTTTGTTGGAAGCCGTCCAGAGTGGCTGGTGAAACCCAGCCAGATGGGCAGGGTAAAATACATACATACATACATACTACTACAGTGATACCTCGGGTTACATACGCTTCAGGTTACAGACTCCGCTAACCCAGAAATATTACCTCAGGTTAAGAACTTTGCTTCAGGAAGAGAACAGAAATCGTGCTCTGGTGGCGCGGTGGCAGTGGGAGGCCCCATTAGCTAAAGCGGTGCCTCAGGTTATGAACAGTTTCAGGTTAAGAAAGACCTCCGGAACGAATTAAGTTATTAACCCGAGGTACCACTGTACTACTATTTACCAGCAGACTAACTGGCCTCGAAGATCTGTGTTAATCTGGGGCGGGGGACTGACAGATTCTGAATTGAAAGAGAAGCTTTGCCAACAAAAATCGGAAGGGACCCGAGGGTCATCTAGCCCAACCCCCTACAATGCAGGAATCTCAGCTATAGCATCCATGACAGATGGCCATGCTGAAAAACCTCCAAGGGAGGAGAGTGCACGACCTCGTCTTTCACTGCAAGCTCCACGCGGGCAGGGACCTTCCTCCTTGGTTTTGATGGCAGCTAGATTGGTACAATGCGGGAAAACTCGCACCGCAGTCCTCATTCCCCCCACCTCTCCTCCTTACCAGGCGTTGTGCTGGAAGAGGCGAGCCGGGTCGGTGAGGAAGCGGTTCCCAAACTGCTTCCTTCTCCTCCCGTCCTGGCTGGGCGCCGCCATAAGCACGAGAGGAAGGAAGGAAGGAAGGAAGGCGGGAGGAAGGAAGGGAACTGAACCCGGAAGCAGACCGCAGTGTGACGCTTCTGCCCTTTGCGAGGAATAGGAAAAGACGCGCGGAATGCGCATGCGCGAGGGCAGTCGGGTTTGCCAACGCCTCCTTCCTCCGCGTTTAATTTTCCCGGCGGCGCGCTTCCTCGGGTGGACCAGAATGAGAACTACCGGCCCAGTCTAAGCTTCCCGACTCGTAGAGCTAGAAACTAGCAGAGCGGCACGTGGAGTAAACGGCGTTTTTCAGTAGATTGTTGTACTGTATTTCCCTCCGCCTAGAGGAGGGAAGATTCTCTGCATCAAAAAGAGCAACTGAACTGGGTCAAGCCGAAAAAGGTTCAGTATCCCATCTTCTCGCAGTGGGTACAGGATTGCAGCCTCTGGTGCCTTGCGAGGAAAGCGCAGTCCATTGGCCCTGAGAAATCAGAATGTATGTTTGTGGTGTAGAACTGTGATTATGCTATCGTAAAAAAAGAGGCAGGTTGGTACAACTTAAGGCGGGATGGGGAAAGTGGAGGAAGCAAGCAAGATTTCCAGTACAGTGGTACCTCAGGTTACATACGCTTCAGGTTACAGACTCCGCTAACCCAGAAATAGTACCTCAGGTTAAGAACTTTGCTTCAGGATGAGAACAGAAACCGTGCTCCAGCGACATGGCGGCAACTGGAGGCCCTATTAGCTAAAGTGGTGCTTCAGGTTAAGAACAGTTTCAGGTTAAGAACGGACCTCCGGAACGAATTAAGTACTTAACCCGAGGTACCACTGTAATGAGAAGGTACGGCTTCAGTGCCCTGCATTCCTTTGGTGTCCCCTCTACCTTGACTACCACGAGCAGAATAGTTATGCAGCAGCTTAAAGCACAATGAGGTCACTCCCTCCATCATTGCATTTGCATGTTGCTATACACACAAAGAGAACAACAACAACAACATTATTTATACCCCGCCCTCCCCGGCCAGGGCCAGGCTCAGGGTGGCTAATACCGGTAAAATTACAATAAAAACATAATAGGAAAAGAAAAAAAACCAAATTAAAATACAGGTTAAAATGCAATTTAAAATGCAGCCTCATTTTAAAAGTAGGCCATAGATCAAAACCATAAGGGGAGGGAAACATAAGGGTCAGACTGAGTCTAAACCAAAGGCCAGGCAGAACAGCTCTGTCTTGCAGGCCCTGCGGAAAGATGTCAAGTCCCGCAGGGCCCTGGTCTTTTGTGACAGAGCGTTCCATCAAGACGGGGCCAGTACTGAAAAGGCCCTGGCCCTAGTTGAGACCAATCTAACCACCTTGCGACTTCGGACCTCCAAAATATTGTCATTTGTGGACCTTAAGGTCCTCTGCGGGGCATACCAGGAGAGGCAGTCCCGTAGGAACATGGGTCCTAGGCCGGGGGTTGAAATGCCTCCACCTGATGCACATTACCTGCTTGGTATTCCCACACCTGCAACCCTTGTGAACTATTCATGCAGCTGTCATCTGCACACATGCAATGGCTGTCTCAAACGTACACACCTCAGCTTAACTGCAAAGCTCCTGTTTTCAAATCGGATGGAAGCTGTTTTGAGGGGAAAAGCATCAAGCAGCAGCATTTCTGAATAAACTACCGGGCAGGTATGGATTGCTGGTAATGCCATGCGTGCGTAGGGTTGCTGGAATTTCACGGACACAGCAGAGGTACTGGAGACGAAAGCGGTGCCTGGACAGAAATTGCTAAAAAATGTCCAGGAAAATCTGGACACATAGCAACCCATGTCGGCAGTGTCATTTTTGGCAATGTTCATTAAAAATAGCTCAAAAACTTGCGATTTTGCCGTAAGAAGCTCAACAACTTTGGGAAACCTAAAAAAAGCTCAACGTTTGTGTCCAGATTATCACTTTTTGAAATATGGCAACCCTATGTGTATGTTGTTGTTGTTTAGTCGTTTAGTCGTGTCCGACTCTTCGTGACCCCATGGACCAGAGCACACCAGCCACTCCTGTCTTCCACTGCCTCCCGCAGTTTGGTCCAACTCATGCTTTGAGAACACTATCCAACCATCTTGTCCTCTGTCGTCCCCTTCTCGTGCCCTCCATCTTTCCCAACATCAGGGTCTTTTCCAGGGAGTCTTCTCTTCTCATGAGGTGGCCAAAGTATAGGAGTCTCAGCTTCAGGATCCTATGTGCATTCTGAGCTTCAAATACCAGCAGCAGGCGTGCAGTGGAGCCAGAGTTAAGCAGTAATGTGTATACAACCTAAATTGTGCAAAAACATACACATGTTGCTTTGTATAAATTACCTAGGTTGTAAAATTCAGGTTTGTGTGGTGCACAATCTTTTAAGAAGCACGCTGTAAACCCAGACCTGATATCAGTCTCATTCAACTTTCAAATATGGCTGAGTTAGATTTGGGGAGCATGACTCCTTGCTGCCATCTATGTCTCAATGCTTCATACTTTCCCCCATTTTGATGATGCCCAAAAAGATTTCACTCACCTAAAGGAGAACCTCAGGAAAGCAAGGACTGCTGGAGCAACACAAATGAGCATCATGGGCTATGGCTATAGAACATATTTTTTCTTTCAGGTGTTATCCAAGGACTGCAGCTCTCCCCCCCCCTTTCTTAGACCCATTCCTAGAGAAAAATCAATTATTTTGCCTAGCCTGTGCTTGAGAATATATACAAGGCATAATTTCTCGTCAGCAAAATAAGAAGAGCAACGATGGCTCACTTCACAGTTTTCTAGGAAGGATTAATAAGGTAGGAGGACTGCCCATCCCCTTGTACAATAGGATTCTATGATTCTAAGTAAAAGGTAAGGTAAAGGGACCCCTGACCATTAGGTCCAGTCGTGACCGACTCTGGGGTTGCGGCGCTCATCTCGCTTTATTGGCCGAGGGAGCCAGCATACAGCTTCCGGGTCATGTGGCCAGCATGACTAAGCCGCTTCTGGCAAACCAGAGCAGCACATGGAAACGCCCTTTACCTTCCCGCCGGAGCGGTACCTATTTATCTACTTGCACTTTGACGTGCTTTCGAAGTGCTAGGTGGGCAGGAGCTGGGACCGAGCGACGGGAGCTCACCCCATTGGGGGGATTCGAACCGCTGACCTTCTGATCGGCAAGTCCTAGGCTCTGTGGTTTAACCCACAACGCCACCCGCATCCCTAAGTACTTCTAAGTACTTCTCAATAAAATTGAATCGGGATGATTGAGATGCGGGAATTTCTTGCAAAGGCTTGTGTGGAAATCCCAAAGTTTGAAATTCAGAATGTCAGGGTTTGCTTAAAGTTCAGTCTAAAAGTGGATCCCTATTTGTTTACAAGAGGTGGGGGATCTATGGAGATGCTGTAAAAATGCAGATCGGAAGACTTCTGTTTGAATCACGAAATGGCTCTTGGCAGTCAAGATCAAATGCTTCCCCCACCCTCGTCCTGCTTTCCCTTTCCCTCCTAGTTGGGCAAGACTCAGGAACAGGAGAAAAGCAGAAGCCACGACACAGGAGGTTTGCCTTTTCTACCTTAATTTCTCACTGTATTTTGCCAGTGTACAAAGGTGAAGCCCTGCATTTCCCAACATGGGAGTTGCGTCCCGGATGCCAGCCCGAGATCATCCTATGGAGCGCCCTCCGGTGAAGAGGAGGATGCCACAGTAAGCAACATTTGGGGGGTGGGCTACTTCTTGCTTCCTTTATGCCTCCCGCCTGCCTTGATCAGCTTTTCCCCGGCAGCGGATGACCGGCAGCTGTCCCGATACGTTTTCCTGTCGTATTCTCGGAGTTCTCGAGGCGTCAGTAGTTCCTGGCAGACGTTCCACGACCAGGAGTACGTGGAGAAGGTCTGGTAGAAGCTGGGGTTCCCCGAGTCCAGCCCAATCTCTGCGCCGCGCACTCTCTTCCAGAGTTTCAGGGACTTGTTGCGCTCTCGGAGAGCGATTGCCATCCGGTAGGCGTCTGTTGCTTTCTTCACCTGAGCGGGAGACAGGTTGGAAGGGGAGATGAAGCTGTCAGAACAGTACAGTCATACCTCATGTTACGTCCACTTCATGTTACGTTCTTTCAGGTTACATCCCATGGCGACCCGGAAGTACCGGAAAGGGTTCCTTCTGGGTTTCGCCGCTCGCACATGCGCAGAAGCGGAAAAATGATGTCATGCACATATGCAGAAGCGGTGAATCGCAACCTGCAGATGCGCCACTGCAGGTTGCGTTCTTTTCATGTTGCGAACAGGCCTCCAGAACGGATCCCGTTCGCAACCAGAAGTACCACTGTAATGGCTAACAGCAAGGGAAATTTTATGTAGATGGGAAGTTAATCGGCGTGCCCTAGTCAGGCGTACTTACCTCTATATAGAGTAGAGTGTGCTCTAGCTCTGCCTTGCCACTGTGTGGCTCCAACTGCACACTGTCCACACATTGGGGGAAGATAGGAAAGAAGAAAGGCTGCCAAACGTGTAGACTGTGCTCACTGCAGCTTACTGAAATTGGTGGAGCAAGTTAGCCATGGATCCAGCTGAAGCTCCATTGATTTCAGCGGGACCCGGGCAGCAATCCTGTTGCCACTCTGCCAGGAGAAAGTTCCATTCTACTCGGACATGTTAGGATTCCACCATATGGACATGTGGCTTAGACAGAACCCAACCTACTGAAGGGTGTCAGCCCTTAACTCTCTTTGGACCATTTGGGCCGATTTTCTTTGTCACGTAAGGACTAAAGAACACGGCTTATCGCCCACCTTCAATGCATTAGCATCTATGGAGCAGTATACTAGCAACTCCTGGTCTTTTTATAATCTATATTGTTGCAGGAATGTGGGCAGGGGGACTGCTTTGGGGATGTTGTTATCATTTCTGTATGCTTCCTTTCTTTTTCCTGTTTGTGTTTTTCTATGTTTGCTGGAAAATCAACAACACACACACAGAGACTAGCATACCTCCCGTCGGATCTCTTCCAGATTGTCGAAAGTAAAACGCCGCTTTCCATGTGTCAGCTGTGGTGCGAGACTGAGGGAAAGCTTTTTGGGCTTGTTGGATTTAGGCTGTACAGAAAAGAATGAAAGAAAGGAAAGGAGAAAGAAAACGAAAGCTTAACCATCAAGTCTGGAAAGACCAGCAGCGGCAGCTAAGTCCCACACGCCACAGTTCAGGGTAGGAGAGGGGCAAGGAAGCTGCTGCCCACTCTCTTCCTACTCTCCGCAGCATGGTCAGGGCTGACCTGGCCAATGAGAGCAAATGACAGCTTTGCTGCTCACTCTCTCCCCGCTCTCCGCTACCAGGGCAGGCCACGGGCGAGGTGGGATGGTCTCCACCACCGGGTCAGCTACTGTAGCCGGGCACAAGGTGCCTCGCAGCCAAGGAGGGTGGGTGGCCTGATCTGGGGACAGAGCTGCCGCGCCAGGCACAAGCACCGCAGCCAAGGAACAGCTCCTTCTGGTGCAAAGCTAGGCTCCGATGATGCCTGTTTGTTCCCCCTCTCAATATTGAGCCTCTGACTGGCAGCACAAAAAGTGTTGGCACATTCCCACCCTCCAATTTGGGAAGATGCCCATGCAAATGTATTATTGCTCAGCAAAAAGATTGGTTCCGAATTATAGAGATTGAGATCCAGTAAGTCTTAGCTGGGTGTGATTGGCAATGAACAAAAATCATTAGGATCTGTTTCATATTTTTTTAAAAAATCAATCCATCTAGGTCTGTACTGTATTTGGGGAAAATAAGGTGACGTAACCCCTTCATGGATTATTGCCTTGTCGTGGCGAAGGGGCTTGAATAACTTCAAGAAGCTCTGAGCTATGCCATGCAGGGCCACCCAAGACGGACAGGTCGTAGCTGAGAATTTAGACTAAATGTGATCCACCTAGAGAAGGAACTGGCAAACCGCTCCAGTATTTTGCCAAGAAAACTCCATGGACATAAAAAGGAGAAGCTTTGAGAAGAAAGTGAGAGTTTCCAAGGCATGCTCTGGTTCATGGGGTCACGGAGAGTCGAACATGACTAAGACGACTAAACAACAACAACAACGTGACGTAAATCTTCAGTGCCCACTAATCCAAACAAAACTAAACTGGGAGTTGCTGGAACCTCTTGTTCCTTGAAAATGGGGAACACATACTAATGTGTATTCCAGAGTTTCATTGCGTGTGACGTTGGAAACAGCTGCTAGGTCTGAGCCTGGTTCAGAGGGTGTCTTGCTCTCACCTCTTGCTTTAGCCATCTTTTCTTATGGAAGAAGTGGTCCTCAAAAGAGGAGAGGGGCTCCTGCCTCCTCAGCTGCTCCAGCTTCTGGAGATTCTTCTTTGGCCTTCCCGACGTCAGGCCATCTTGGTTGGGGATCAAGGGGAAGATGGGCACCTGAGAATAGGGGCTCTCTGATGGGGCAATTTTTTCTGGCAAAACAGGAAAGGAAAAAGGGAACCAAATGTTAGGAAAGGGAGTGCCTGAGGTAGGAGGGAAGCAAAGCTAGGTCTGGATGGAGCAGGAAGGCCATGGGGCAGTGGGTAGGTCTCCTTGCCCCCAGAAATGCCTTCCCAGAGAACGCCTCCATGATATTAATATTAATATTAATTATTATTATTATTTATTTGTCCCCCGCCCTCCCCCGCCAAGGCCAGGCTCAGGGCGTCTAACAAGCAATAATAAAAATAAGTTGAATGAATACAACTTAAAAACAAAATTAAAATACAACATTAAAATATTGAAACATTAAAATATTAAAATGTAGCCTCATCACAGGAAGAGAAAGGAAAAGAAAAAAGAAAGAGGGGGAGGGAATCAAATTGGCTCCAAGCCAAAAGCCAGGCGGAGCAGCTCTGTCTTACAGGCCCTGTGGAAAGAAATCGGATCCTGCAGGGCCCTGGTCTCATGAGGCAGAGCGTTCCACCAGGCCGGAGCCAGAGTTGAAAAGGCCCTGGCTGGCTCTGGTTGAAGCTAATCTAACTTCCTTAGGGCCCGGGACCACTAGGGTGTTGCTATTTATGGACCTTGAGGCTCTCCATGGGGCATACCAGGAGAGGCGGTCCCGTAGGTACGAGGGTCCTAGGCCGTGAAGGGCTTTAAAGGTCAAAACCAGCACCTTAAATCTGACCCTGTACTCCACCGGGAGCCAGTGCAGCTGGAAAAGCACTGGGTGAATATACTCCCATGGCAGAGACCCCGTGAGGAGCCTCACTGCAGCATTCTGCACCCACTGGAGTTTCTGGGACAGCTTCAAGGGCAGCCCCGCATAGAGCGAATTACAGTAGTCAAGCCTGATGCACCCCTTCTTGCATCAAATCCCTCCCCCAAACCCACCTTTCCTACAAAGCCTATAGCACCAACCCCTAGGCCCAATATACTGCCCTAACAAAGTGGAACTGAACTGTGCATCCATTCATCCAGTTAGCAAATTATAGGTTGAGTCCCTTGGGGCACAGACCGGTCCTCTTATACCCTGTGGAGCCAGTGTAGTGGTTCGAGTATTGGACTAGGACCTGGGAGAACGGGGTTCAAATCCCCACTCATCCATGAAGGTCACTGAGGGACCTTGGGCCACTCATTGCCTCTCAGCCTGACCCATCTCAGAGGGTGGTTGTGGGGATTAAACGAGGAAAGGAAGAACCATTGACACCACCATGAGCTCCTTGGAGGAAAAGGTGGGATAATAATGCAATCAATTAATAATAAATGCATAGTGCCATCTACGTGCATTACACGTAAATCAACAGTAACAGAGTTATGCCCTTCTCCAGGTAACCACATCCTAACAATGCTATATATGTATTAGGATAATAACATCATATATATTTATATAAGAATCTATGGGAGTACATTACACTGCATTTTTGTATATTGTTTCTTTCCTCACATTTTTTGTTCTTTCTTTTCTTTTCTTGGCCTTCTCTTCTGCATCACTTTATTTCTTTATGATCAAAATTCTTTCAGTAAAATAAAAAGGTAAAGGGACCCCTGACCATTAGGTCCAGTCGTGACCGACTCTGGGGTTGCAGCGCTCATCTCGCTTTTTTGGCCGAGGGAGCCGGCGTACAGCTTCCGGGTCATGTGGCCAGCATGACTAAGTCGCTTCTGGCAAACCAGAGCAGCGCACGGAAACGCCATTTACCTTTTCGCCGGAGCAGTATCTATTTATCTACTTGCACTTTGACGTGCTTTCAAACTGCTAGGTTGGCAGGAGCAGGGACTGAGGAACAGGAGCTCACCCCGTCGCGGGGATTCGAACCACCGACCTTCTGATCGGCAAGTCCTAGGCTCTGTGGTTTAACCCACAGCGCCACCCGCGTCTCTTTTTCAGTAAAATAGTAATACCAATTACAATCAGCACAGCACTTCACGGCCAACACTTCCTGTTTCCCAGTCCATGACCCTGTGGTAATGACACTTGCATACATGAAAGGGTTAACGTGAGCCAGAAATGAGCTCAAGTGACCATGGTGGACTTTAGCAGTCTCCCAGCAGCCTTTGCCTCTTCTTACTCCCCCCCCCCCCCCCGCAGCACTCTGCCTTCCTGGAGGAAGTAAGTAGCCACATGTCTACAGCCTGAATGACTTAGCAAATGCAAATACTACATGATTTCTTTTGTAATGAAACCAAGTTCTTTTCTTTTCAAATTGTTTGGAATCTTTTCTTCCTTACTTTTACAGCCAATGGGTGGAGA